CTTCAGTCCATATGGTCGCAAAGAGTTGGACATGACTGAAGCAACTTAGCATGAACAGAAATGCTAGATTCACCTGTATGTGATCTCCTGTGTATTGGATCCTTCAAATTTCTATCAGAGCAGTGTTTCTTATATTGTGGTCCACCAACCACTTGCATCAGAAGCACCTGAGTTGGAATAAAAGTGCTAATTCTAGGTGGCACCCAATACCATGAATACAAACATTAGAATGAAGGCTGAAAATGTGTATTTTTCAAAAAACTCCATAGCTGATTCTTATTCAAGTTGATTTTTAAGAACTGCTGCCCTGGTGGTAACAGATAAAGTGACACACTTCTCTCTGAAATGGACAGGTTCCCAGCCTGACACAGAAATGCGTTCCAGAATGGTACTCATGGGCTTGTTCCTAACCCCAAACCCTTCCTGTCTTGCTGCACCTTGGATTTCCCTGCTTTCCCAGGTCGTCATATTTTTGCTCGAGAATCCCACAACTACAGGTCAGGTTTCAGGTTCTTCTTATTTCTGTAATTGCAGGGAAGAAGGAACTGGATAGTAAACAAACCAACTTTAACTTGGTTCTCTGTACCAGGGACCATGTATTTTAACTATTTTACAACTTTAAAAAAGACTGAAGCATAAACTTATTATCATTTATATTTTTCTAATATTATTTAGGTTTTGTTCTGCATATTTATTTCCCTGATCTGCCTTACATTGAAATTTTGTGTATTGGGAAAATGTAGAGAATTCTCTGCAGAGGCACTTATTATGCAATGAATTTTTCCTGGCTTCTGAGTTCTAGGAATTTTTTTCAAGGCAAAAAGACATGACAAATCTCTTGAGCAACAGAAAATCATCAAGATGAAACACTAAGATGCCCTTTGATTACTGCATTGGGGTTTCACTGCCCCATCTACCCTGCTGGGAAACACAGAAATATTCGTCACTGGTCATGAAAAAGAGTAAACGATTTCCTGCTCAATCATGGGGACTGAATTGAGAGGTTGGTTTGACTAGAGTTCTTCACTGGAATTCTTTCGGACACACACCAGACCTCACTGCTAGCAGCCTGAGACCTGCTCAGAAATGAAAGACCTTTAGTGATGAGAACCTGAAATTTAGGGTGTATGGTGGCAAGGAGGTCATTGTGCCTGAGTTGGGAGAGGATAGATTCATGGAGGAGGTGGCTGCCATATTGAAAAAAAATTCAAAAGTGAATCAAGGATTTTTGGAGGCATCTGTACAAAGTCTTATGGACTTATTGTGTGCTATTCAAAAATTGTGATGAAGCATGTCCCTTTCCATCTCAAATGCCCATTTTTTTCTAATATGCATAGGTGCCCCCACACAGGACGCACAATTACCCTGTTCAACATTCTCAGATTCAATCTCTCCCTCAGTTAAAGGGTTGTAATAAGTGTTCCCACCTTGGAGGGTTTCTGGACAATTCATTGGGTCAATCCATGTAAAGAACTTAGACCCATGCTTGTCACATAGTGTGAGTTCAATAACTGTCAGTGCTTGTAACTGTTATCTGTGGCCTGGCCTCTCTGTAAAGAATATACAGATGAAGCAGACAGGAGTCTTCCTCCCAGGAGCCGCTTGCAGTTCAGACAGTTGAAGACAAAACTGCAGCCTTGGCTGAGATGGCTCCATTACCCTGTGCTTCCTCTGTGGCTGCTGGGAACACTTGGCAATGGCTGAGCAACAAGGGATTTCCAGACCTGAACTTGACATCATTTTTCTGACTTAGGTACTATCATATCCTCCCCTACCTCTAATGCATGATGAACTTGGGATTCGGAGAAACTCTGTAGCATCCAAGATCACAAAGGCATTGAATCAGAAGAGACACAGCTTGAAGCCAAGTATAAATGTCATTTAAACGTACGCTTTTCCCTACACTCTACCCAGAACCAACAAGAAGTAATAAAAGGATAAAGAAGAGAAGTGGGGGAGTCAGGGTGATTTGTATATTCACAGAGATGCAACGTGTGTTCTTGTAAATGTATCCAGGTAGGAAAATTGATCCTTCGATGAAAATGGTTGGAACAGAAAGAATTCCTATCTTTCAGATAAAACATGATTAAGCAATATAACAGCTCACATATTTAGAAAATAATGATAGGAGTTGCACTGTGCTATTTACTATGTACCTCAAAGGAAATATCAAATTAAACTAATGATTTGTTCATTTCCTATAGTCAGAAATTAATGGGCCATCGAGAATGCTTTGTGGAGCCAGAAGATCCAAGTCAATATGTAGCCGAAAAATGAGAAGGTCGACATGTGTCACATTTGGTATGGTCGAACCAATAAGAAGGATCATACATAGCTTCTGTAATTAGGTTTTCTATCCTGGAGGGACAAATATTTGGAAAATAGAAACCTGAATTTTCGATCATCCTATATCTGGTTGGCACAGGAAAAAACAGAATATTTACACCCAGCTCCTTTCTTGCCCCTGGTTTCTGTGAGATGGGTAAGAATTTCCCTGAAAGACAAGGATGTGTGTAGCTTCCCCACAACCTTGACCATGAAGCTTCACCCCACAGACTGTGTCCCAGGATGTTAAAACATCTTTTTCTTTACTTTCAACCTTGCTAATGGTCATTTTATTTATCTCTTGTGAATTCCTTAGAAACTCTGACAAACCTGTTAATATTTATTGCACCAGTCCTTCTATGCATCCCCACTGTCACTACAGTAACCTGGGTCCTCAGAGACCTCTGAGTAGCTTGTGGCGAACATCTCTGAAATGCATCTGCTTCCCAGGGATTGCTCCCCTGACAACAAATCTTCCTGCTCTTTTTCTTCCTAAAGTGCAGATCTGATCATATCACTTTACTCCCTACCACCATCAGTATCTCCTCCTCATTCATTCTTTTCTAAAAATATATATTTGAAAATGCTGAAAAAATTGCTCACATTCCTACTTCTTAAAAAATAACTATTAAGTAAGGATGTCTCCTGTTCTCTTTCTATTCAAAGTTTCCCTACCCAAGGAGTCAATTAGTCTTCTACTTGTTCCCTTTAACTGACATCTCTCGGCTCAGTTCAGTCTCTCAGACATGTCCGACTCTCTGTGACCCCATGGATTGCAGCACACCAGGCTTCCCTGTCCATCACCAACTTCTGGAGCTTGCTCAAACTCATGTCCATTGAGTTGGTGATGCTATCCAACCATCTCATCCTCTGTTGTCCCCTTCTCCTCCTGCCTTCAATCTTTCCCAGCATCAGGGTCTTTTCCAGTTAGTCATTTCTTCACATCTGGTGGCCAACATATTGGAGCTTCACCTCTCTAGACATTGTTTAATATGAACTTCACTTATATTGTGTTTGGTAGAAAACTATTTCTGTTTTCCCAACAGATAATCAATCATCCTAATTTAGTTTTAAGATAATCTTTGCATTTCCCTACAATTTAAAAATGACTTACCATATTTTTATATCAACATATGCTTTTGAACTGTAGTGTTGGAGAAGACTCTTGAGAGTCCCTTGGACTGCAAGGAAATCCAACCAGTCCATCCTGAAGGAGATCAGTCCTGGGTGTTCATTGGAAGGACTGATGTTGAAGCTGAAACTCCAATACTTAGGCCACCTGATGTGAAGAGCTGACTCATTTGAAAAGACCTTGATGCTGGGAAAGATTGAGGGCAGGAGGAGAAGGGGACAACAGAGGATGAGATGGTTGGATGGTATCACTGACTTAATGGACATGGGTTTGGGCAGACTCCGGAAGTTGGTGATGGACAGGGAGGCCTGGCATGCTGCGGTTCATGGGGTCACAAAGAGTTGGACATGACTGAGCAACTGAACTGAAATGAAGTGATTCTTGGAGTATTTGCTAGAGGATTTCTGTTTCATTTATGTCTCATTATTCATACACCATTATCATATTATGTCAGCAACTTTGCAATAAGGATTTAGACCTGCTAGGCCAAATGTCTATTCAATATTATTCTTAAAAATAATTTTTAGTAATTTCATATTTAAAGTTATTTAACTAGCTAACCCTGAACCCTTATACCATAGAACAAAAAATAAAATGTTTTCTTAATTCTCATAAGAATTATAGTAACTTCATAAATGTGAATTTAAGAAAGATCAGTATCTTTATATTTAGTTTTTCTCACACAAATTTGATGTCTCTTTATTTATTCAGGTTTAATTTTATGCCCTTATAAAACCTTATACTCGTTCTTCTTATAGCTTTGGAATTTTCTTATAAATTTGACAAATGATTTTATAACTCTTTACTTACTCTTTTGCATTTTATTGGTAAAGCTTTCATGGATTTTGAAAAATAGGCAACTCCTAAAGCTCCTGATAATTTGATTCATGGTCTAGAAAAAGGAAAAACAGAGTACAAGGTATCAGAGAGGTACTGAGTGGTACCTTAGATACCACTGAGATCTCAATAGATCCAAATGGTATTTGACAACTCAAAGTATTAATACTAATAACTCAATTTTCAATTAAAGAAAGGTTTCTAAACAAAATATTCACCCAGATCTCTCATCTTCTCCTGTGTATTAGGGGCTCAGCTACTATGAATGGACAGTTGTCACTGTGACCTTCTATTTTCATTCTCAGGGCAAAGGTACTGCTTGTTGATAGGACTTAGGCCAGGACCAACCAGGTGGATCTGGCGTGGACAGAGGGATACTTGACCTGTCTTGTGTGGGTCCTGGAGGATGCCCAGCTCATCTGTGCTCAGAGGAGCACCCAGATGCCTCTGACAACCTTTTTTTACCCTGATCCAAGATGAGTATCTCCAGATTACAAAACAGTCTCCAAGCGTCTTCTTACAACATATCAGAGAAATGGATATTGTTTTCAAGTTTTAGTTTCAATAAGGAATCTATTATTTCAAAGGAGAGAAAATTCTACAAATTTCTTCTTTTATCCTAGGGAAAAAAACAATAACTCATCACAGAACTTATTTTCCTATCTTGTGTTGCCATGGTAAAGAATGTTACCCAGTGAATGGAGAACTTTGTTCACATTTTACAAGTACACTTGTGATGGAGTATTTGCATTTTCAGTGAGTGAAGAGTTTCCTCCTTTCAACGATATAGCCCCAAATCCCTAAGGGACAAGTTTTGGCGTTTATGAGAAGAGAAGGGTCTTTCTTTGATGCAAACTCTGAGCAGTTTCAACAGATTTGAACACCTGGAAATTAAAAAAAAAAGAGGGGGGCTTAATTCTTTGAATACTATTACTGGAAATTTAGAAAGGCAGGTGGTTAACCCGTTGGTGGTGAACTCTTCTTTTCCTGTTTTTATTCCTTTCATCTTTCATCAGTGTCTTCAATGATTTCTCCTTCATGAAAAGCAGATATTTGGGTCCTTTTGTCTGAGGAAAGTTAATAAAACATCAGATACCATAAAACCTGTGTTTAAGGAATTTCAAAAGAATCCAGAAGATCATATTTCCAGTACAAAAGTTTTAACTTCCAGTCATGATATGGAGTTAGGAGAAGGCTAAGATTATTGTAGGAGCTTCAACCAGTGTGACAGCACAGGTTGGAAGAAGATATTTGGAAAAGCAACTGAGCTCATAGTAGCTGCCCCTGGTAAGTAATGTTTTTCTCTTTTTTTCCTTAGTTATGGGAAAGTGACAGGTGTTTTTTTTTAGAGAAGACAATCTGTGTTGTGTGTTAAGTCGCTTTAGTCATGTCCGCCTCTTTACGACCCTGTGGACTAGAGCCTGCCAGGCTCCTCTGTCCACGGGATTCGCAGGCAAAAATTCTGAAGTGGGTTGCCATTTCCTTCTCCAGGGTATCTTCTTGACCCAAGGATCTAAAGTATTCACTTTATCTAACTGCCACATGCTTGGTCTTAGCACATGAACAACAATTCCGCAGGTACTGGTCACTGTATATGGAAACTCAACTACTTTGTAAATGATTTTTTCTCTCCTCAAAAACAGAATGGGATTTTTCTTTGAAAATACACACACACAAACATAAACTATTAAAACAGACTCAGACTAGATAGTAAAATATTTGAGGACCATGTCTTTTTTATTGTTTCGTTTATGTGTCAATATTCTTACACCATAACATATTATGCCATTACATTGGTATAAGCTATTGATTCAATTTCCTTTCCTTCTAGACAATCTATTAAGTGAGAATCACTTTTCTTAATTATTTCTTCTCTACAGTTTGAGATAAAACACAGTGTCCTTGTCTCCCAATACTTTACAAAATTACATTATTGGTTTTCATCTCATCCCTAAAATCGGTACATAAAAAGTCTTATAGTAAATGACTATAGAACATAGATAAATCCCCTTTCTTATTACTGTAGCTTCTTAGAGGGAGGCTGAGATCAGTTGAAATTCATGCAGTCACATCTCTTGTTACATTGCCTGGAAGTGGATCAGTTTCATGGAATCTGTGAGCTCAATGAGCCCTGTCTTCCCTGGTGGCTCAGATGGCAAAGAATCTGCCCGTGATGCTGGAGACCCGGGTTTGATCCCTGGGTGAAGCAGATACCCTGGAGAAGGGAATGGCTACCCACTCCAGCATTCTTGTCTGGAGAATTTCATGGACAGAGGAACCTGGTGGGCTATAGTCCATGGGGTTGCAAAGAATCAGACATGACCGAGAGACTTTTACTCCCTCACTTATGAGCCATGTCAGCTCCAAAGTCCATGAAAATAGTTTACATAGTTGAGCATCCTCTTCTGCCCATTCTCTCAGCATTTATTTACTGAGGACAGTTTCTGTGTTGGATGATGGAGATAAAAGAGTAAGCTAGACAAAGATAGAGCAAGTCCCAACACTCAAACGGCTTCTAGTCTACCAGTTGAGCTTTATAGATTCTGGCTTGATTTTGACCCATGTTCTATGATCTGTGGCTGCTAGACAGACAGCTGCTTTTGGATTGATGGACTTGTTTCTTTCTCAATTGATGTAATAGTTATAGCTTATAAAACTCTTATATTTTATCTGGTGGAAGAATTTAATGAAATGTCCTTAAGTCATCCCACTAAAGAGAATTTTAGTATCAACTGCTATTTGCTGAGAATCAGACAGCATAAGAAGTTTCAGTGCCGTATCTCATTCCTCAACCGGAATCATCTTATTCCCAGTTCATATATAAGGACACTGAGGTTTCAAGAACCTCAGTTACTAGTGTAAATTCACCTGACAAGATACATTGCAAAGTTTAGGATTCAATAGGGATTTGTCTATTCCGAAGTGCATGATCTGAACTGTTATTGATGTTAGAAACATTTAAGTCATGTTTTCATATCCTGAGTATTTACCGTTCCATAGCCTGACCTTTTCCAGTTTTCTCGCCTGAAAAACCCATGGTCAGGGGAGCCTGGCAGGCTGCAGTCCAAAGGGTCTCCAAGAGTCAGACACAACTGAGTGGATGAGCACTCAGCCTGACTTTTAAAATGAGTGCTTTAACTGACTACTTAGTAGTTTATAATTTACTTTACTCTCATGTGTGAAAACAATGCTTCTGCTCCTCTTTGGTAGTTAAAGACATATTTACTCTAAGTGACATTCTTGACCAAGAACTGACTTTATACTGAAAACCCTTTTTGAAAGGAGATTTAAAATAATTCAGGCAAAATAGTGAGAAAAGATGGAACCCTACTCCCAATGGATGTGAGATGGAAACAGAGGTAATCCAAGAAGCCCAGAGAGAGAAGGGACAGTTCTTCAGTTCTTGACACATTCATACTTTACGTGGTTTGCTGAAAGTCACCTCTGTGTCATGGTAGCAGAATCAATTTCTCCATAAATTTATGTAAATATTGAAAAAAGTGGACACAAATTCAAAACAGACGCAATTCTGTATGTCTTGCATCTATCTCACAGAACTAGGATTTGTAAACACGTTATCTGATTCCTCATGCTCTGTTGGGAGTTAGAACTTACTAAATTATCAAAACCCAGGGCAGAAAAAGACACATGATATTTGTCATTTTATGTTGCTTGTTTTCAACCTCCATTTGAGAAGACCTAAGATAAAAACACACATTCAGGGATTTCCCTGCTGGACAAGTGGCTGGGTCTCTGAATTCCCTTTGTGGGAGCCTGGGTTCATTCTCTTATCAGGGAGCTAGATCCCACATGTGGCAAAGAAGATCCTGTGTGCCACAACTCGAGACCTGGCGCAGACAAATAAATATTTAAACACACACACACACACACACACACACACACACAGGTTCAGGCAGGGCAAAAATAGGAATAGAAAATCAAAGGCACTCGGGGAAGTAGAAGGAAAAAGGCCTGTGAAGACCTGGCAGGAAGCACAGGGTAAGATTTCATTCTCAGAGATAGGAGAGAGATGTGTATGTTCTATCTCTATAAACAAGTGATTAAAATTTTTAAAAGTTGAAAAAATGTAGTGGAATAATATTTTTAATTAAGTGATAAAGAAGCGCACCAAATTTTCCAACAAGGTATGTTAAAATAATATTAGAAAGAGATTTCAACGCAGGAGTTTTTAAAAAATGAAGTAAAAGGGGGACATTGGCTTCAACATGTTATGTAAAATGGAAGAAATGGCCTTTAAATAAATCCAGTTCTTGCTTCCAGGGCATCAATGTTACAGACATCATAAAGTTTAATGTCATTAAGAGATGGCCCTGCAGAGAGGGTCAGGCAGGGAAGGTTTTTGTGAGGCAATATGACTCTAGGAGAATCTGAGGACCAGGTATCCTGCCGTTTCTCTAGTCATCCTGTCTTGAAGGCCCACTGCAAGGACTCACAAGTTGAACTCTCTTCAGGAGCTGGATAGAAGTCAATTCAAGGCTAAAATTTCTAGTCAAAGCTTGGAGCCAAAATTAATTGTGGCCTTGACTGGGGGGAATGCCATTTGTTTTGTACAAAACAAGTGAAACAGTTTCATATCCTAACTGCATATGTTAGGCTTTAGCCAATATTCCTTTTGATTTTTTTAACCCTGGATGTACAGTGGCTAAGACAAGACTAATAATTTTCTATCATTTTGGTTTGTGAAAGGCACGTTTCCTGTGATGATGGAGATGAGGATTTCAGACAGTTGAGAGCACAGTGGAATTGCAATCAAGGGAACCAGTGTTCAAGGTTAATTGGCAGGGATTCAGTTGCAACCAAAATACTGAATTCTCATCAGTAAGGGTGAGCTCCGGTCCCATGATATAAAAATGTCTTGTTGGAGCACTCAGTCAACACAAACAAATCACTGATAATAATTACTATTATCTCTTATTTTCATAGCATTTTTAATCAACTTACTTTTCAGATCTTGTTTCATTTTGGTCTCACTGCAGCACTGGTTTGTTGTTGTTTAGATGCTAAGTTGTGTCTGACTCTTTTGCAACCCCATGGACTGTAGCCCATTAGGCTCCTCTATACAAGGGACTTCCTGGGTAAAAACACTCATGATTTACATGAACATCTTCATTTTCAAATAAATAAAGCATCAAAGGCTTTAATTGACCCAATTGGCTCAGTCACAGAACTTATGAGGAAAATGAAGCAGGATCAGAAGCCTGGTCTCTTGAACTGAAGGCCACCATAGTTTCCCTAGGATTTGAAGAAGTCAGAGAAGCTAAATTAGTCTAACAATTTCCATATAGGTTGAAAAATTTTGAAATTATTATAGAAAAATATTTGTTGACGGAATAAAATTTTTGTAATACATATATGGCAGGAGAAAGCAATTTTTTTTTCAATGGAATTGGGGAAGGCAAGAAACAATTCAAGGAAAAATATATGGTTTAGAATGTTTAGGAAAAAATGGGAACGTGAAAGGGGATTAGATGTGGAAATCTTAGGAAGAATTTTAAAACAAATCCCTGTTTGTAAAGGACAGCATGGAAAAACATTGTGCAAGTAACCTAATAGGATTTTTCTTGTGTACATACGGACTACTACTAAGGATTCATGTATAAAGTGTGCAGTCATCTTGAAAGTGTTTGGCCCAAGGTTTAAATTTGTTATTTTAAGAAAGTTTTGTGAGTTGGCACATTTCCTTTTCTGATGTGGAAGGGGTGTTTTCAAAGAAAACTTTGGAATCAGGTTGACTTGGAATTTCAGGTACACCACTTACTGCTTATGTGAATCTGGGTAATTATTTTCTGGCCTCAGTATCCTAATCCATAAAGTGGGATAATAATATATACCCAGTAGGGGTTGTATAAAAGTTGAATGAGATAGTGTGTAGCTATCACATTTGGTACATTGTCTTGGCATATGATAGGGAATGTATATGTGTACCTACACTCAATTCAAATGTTAAGGGAGAATTGTATGCAGTAGGGAGTTGTTTGCAGACAAGAACGCTGACTGAATTAAAATTCTCCAGAGAATACAGCTGTACTTTTAACTCCTCAAATGGAAAGTTACCTTACTCTCCACTCACCGCAAAAAATTGAATTTGGAGATATTTGTCTCTCCTTAGCATATTTTTCCCACTTGACAAGAAAAATGAGTTATAAATATATTTTTTAATATGTTCTATAGAGACATTTTCATAGTTACCTTGTCTTCTCCCTCAATCTATTCCCACCACACACTCCCATTCACCCTAAAACAGTTTCCATTATAATAGAATAAAATAGATTTTTAAATAATCAATGTGTTCATGAAGGCTGGAAGCATTGATATGGGCAGTTAAAAGTCATACCCCATTGTAACATGTGGAGAAAGAACAAATGTAAAGGTTAATCCAGCCTCTGTTACATATTAGTGGGGACTTTTTAAGTTTTACGATGTCTTGAACCTCTCTTCCCATTGAAAATAAGAACAATAAAACATACCTCACCACCTACTGTGGATGAACAACCAGGCTATAATTCAATGACAAATTTTCTTCCTCTTACCACTTGCTAGATTGTTCCAAATCACATCAACATTTGTGTTTGTGTAATAACTCTTTTTAATTACTATTTCATTTTCTCCTACAGATAGAGACCTTGATACAGACATGTCCCCCAAGCCCACTATGTTTCTTCCTTCAGTTACTGAAATCAAGCGTGATAATACTGGAACATATCTTTGTCTTCTGGAGAATTTTTTCCCTCATGTTATTAAGGTTTATTGGAGAGAAAAAAATGGCAACAGAGTTTTGCCATCCCAGCAGGGAAATACCATGAAGACTGCTGACACATACACGAAGTTCAGCTGGCTGACCGTGTCTGGAAACTCCATGGATAAAGAACACATGTGTATTGTCAAACATGAGAAAAATAAAAGAGACAGAAATCAAGAGATTCTTTTTCCGTCAGTGAATGAAGGTATGTGAATAGAAATATAAGTATAACCTCCTAGAACAATTTTTCAAAGGGATACTCCACCTCTTCTGTCAAGCATTAATGAAAAACAAATGCAAATCTTTCTTAAATTTCAAGCTATTTCCTTACAGAATAAAAAAAAAAGTGTAGGGTTTGAAATGTAAAAAAGAAAGAGAAAAGTTTACCTAAACATTATCAGCCTCAGTTTCATCATCCAAAATATTAAGGTCATAATAAAGTATTTTGTTATATGGTTTAAATCAAACAACATATATGGAGGCACCTAACAATTTAGCACACTATAAACACACAAAAAGAGATTCCACTGTTGAAGATCTTAGTGGAAGTAAGAATAATTGTATGTCTTTTATGAATGTTCTAGTCATCAAACAAACTCATCTAATTTCAATCTTGATTTACTCAAACTGTAGTCCAGAAACGAGTCTTAACATCAAATTGTTGTTCTTATGAGCAAGCCAGAGTGCAGATCAACAGAAAGCAGAGTAACTTGGCTACTGTACATTTATTATGGTCCATGGTGTTAGGTTTCTAAGATTTGGATTTTTTTATATATCACTTGGAGTAAAATTTTGTGATTAAAGATGGGGTGAGGCTAGAGTACACAGACTTACTTACATTCTACATAATGAATGTATTTCTTGCCACTGGAAAATGCCTCTCACCAACTTTCATTGAAGCCTAGCACGTGCCAGGCCTGAACGGAGTGTGGATGAACACACTCGGGTGAATTATTGTCCTTTCTATAATTACTCAAAAGTCCTAAGTCACTTAGAGTCCTGCACCATATAAACACACTGATGAAAGGTCCCAGAGGGCTCATATGAAGGAATCAGAAGTCCTTTTAAACAGTGAGAAACAAGCCCATCATAGCATGTGCAGCCAGTTTTGCTGTGTGCCTGTCTGAATTTCTTTCTTCTTTTTCAATCTGAATTTCTGAAGTAAGTCTTTATCTTCTCTGACCCTTAGTTTGTCCCGTGATCAAATTAGGTCCAAACATTTGCTTTGCTCTTTTCTTGGAGCTGTGAAGAGCAAATGAAATAATGTCAGTGAAAATACTTGTTTTAGATAACATGACATAGATGTATTTATTCATATATTCATTGTATTTTTATATCCTTTCCTAAAACTCTTTAAAAGTAAGATTACAAAATCGCCCTACATTTTTGTTTTACCATAAGAAAAAGAAGGGAAGCAGATATGCAAAATGCTAGTTTAATATAACAATGGGCTTAATTGTCCTTAATTTTTAATTTTTCAGGTGATCAGGGAAAAATAAGAATTAAAATAAGTTTCATAGTGACGATTATCGCAAAGGAAACAAATTTGAGTTTATAATGTGTTTCACTTGGCACTTAATTGTCTAGGCAATGTTTCCCACTGACTACTCATGGCAGCAAAGCTAACTAGGGCATTTCTGTTAATGCCATTCTACCGCAAATTTCTAAGGAGGAACCAAAACGACTATTGTGACTGTTTTCTTCCAGTCCAACAAACTATTATGTATACACATAGATATTTCACTTACATGTATGCCTTTTTAACTGGAGAAGGGAATGGCAACCCACTCCAGTGTTCTTGCCTGGAGTGTTCCATGGACAGAGGAGCCTGGTGGGCTGCAGTCCATGGGGTCCCAAGGTGTCAGACACGGGCTGAGTGGCTAACACTCTGATGTCTTTCTAAAAATTGCAAATAAACCCAACTCTCACCTCAGGTTTTTTTTTTTTTTTTGAGAAATTGTCTTTCCTTTTTAAATAATATTCTTTATGGCTGTGCTGGGTCTGTGCTGCTGTGCACAGGCCTTTCTCTAGTTGTAGTGAGTGGGGGCTGCTCTTCCTTGTAGCGCCCAGGCTTATCATGGTGTCTTCTCTTGCGGAGCATGAACTCTAGGGAGCGCAGGCTCAGCAGGTGTGGTGAATGGGCTCAGTTGCTCCAGCGTGTGGAATCTTCCTGGACCAGGGATCGAACCCAGGCCCCTCGCATTGGCAGGCAGATTCCTATCCACTGCTCCACCAGGGAAGTCCTCCCCTTAGGTTTTCTATAGTTAGAGGACTATAAATGGGATTTGGCCTATTTTTCAATCCTCAAAGGAATCACACTGAAATGCTGAGCTCCTGTAATAAAATCATTGTTGCGAAAAATATTTAAGAAAGGAAGCTGTTTTTGGTGTGGAATTCTGTTTTCTGTCTATAGATTAATTTTTCTGCGTTTCTGTGGATTATTTCTATGAAGTACTTTTCACAGCTTTGTCTCATTTAATCTCCCTCAACGATCCTTAGAGTTCTGACTCTGCCATCAGTGATATGACTCTAAGCAAGTTACTTACCATCTGATTCTTATTTCCTCCTTTGTAATATGGAATCCTCCAAAATACACCTCACTCCAGTGTCAGTGGGAGATTAAATGACATGCTGCATGTGCAGTATGTAAGCGAGTGCCTGGCACAGTAATAATTACTCGATGGCTATTAGCCTTATTAGTATTGTTTTCTTTATTCCCACACATATCACAACTGCAAGAGTATCGGATGCTGGAGATACAAGTGATGTAGAAAGGTGTGGCTGGTTTTTTATTTTTCCTCAATGGGAAATTTGCTGGGGCCAGACTCCTTCAAATAAGAGATTCTGTTTTATTTTCTGGGATTGGATGAATTTGTTTTGATGCTGAACTGATCTACTGAATTACACAGAATCAGACCAACTCTTCCTGGATTGTAGGGCTCATATTTTTTAATGAATGTTTCTTTCTCAGCAGATTATCTACTTATATATGTGTGTTTTAATAATACATGTATAAACACAAATGCACATTGCCAAATAACAGGTGTGAAAAATTGATGAATAATTGTTCTCTTTTCTTGTAGTTGTCTCTTCAGTTGTCACTACTACTAAACCTCCAAATGATGGTTTGAAGGATAAAAGTGGTAAGTTTTTGTCCATGTTTGCCTTTATGTCATGCTTCAGTCTTTTTTTCCCTCTCATCCCACATCTCCTGCATCTCCTGCATTGCTTTCTGACGAATTTCCCTTTTGAAGTCTACCTGGCTTAAAGTAAAAAGACCAATTACCTGCAATTGTGGGGCTCATCATTGTTATACTTTTAATGACTCCTCTTCTGTCAGGAGAATATATTCTATCAGGAGAATACATATATGTGTACAGACATATAGGCACAGACACACACATGTATGTACAGACATATAGACAGACTAAAATAATAGGCAGGGACAATTGATCATATATATATACACATATACATATATGACTTCCCAATATAAAGAATCTGCTTGTAATGAGGGAGACCTGAGTTTGATCCCTGGGTCAACAAGATCCCCTGGAGAAGGAAATAGCAATCCACTCCAGTATTCTTGCCTGGAAAATCCCATGAACAGAGGAGCCTGGTGGGCTACAGTTAATGGGGTCACTAGAGTTGGGCATGACTTGGTGTCTAAACCACAGCCATGGCTTCCCAGGTGGCCCGGTGGTAGGGAATCCACCTGCCAGTGCAGGAATGCAGGAGATCTGGGAGATGTGGGTTCAATCCCTAGGTCGGGAAAATTCCCTGGAGGAGAAAATAGCAACCCACTCTAGTATTCTTTCCAGAAGAATCCCACGGACAAGGAATCTGATGGCCTATAGTCCATGGGGTAGTGAAGAATTGGACAGGACTCAGCAATGGAGCATGCACATAGATGTCTATATGCACATACATATGCATATACATATCACACTGTCAAAAATAGATATACACAATCAACTAATACTTGCTCTCCTTTCTTTTAGAGAAACAAAGCCCTGTTGAAAATTCTAAAAAAGCATGTCTGAAAGATGAAAACAGTAAGTTTTTGTTTAGTTTTGTTGTTATGTCAGCTACAGCACTTTTTTTTCCACCATATAAAATTAACTTTTGAACTTACTTGGTTTAAGGTAAAAAACCTATACTGTTGGGATTTGCAGAAATAGACTGAGTGGTATTTTAAGTAAATCCATCATTTCTTGGGCTTGGTGTCTCAGTGACAAAGAATCTGCCTGCCAATGCAGGAGATACGGGTTCAATCCCTGGGTTGGGAAGATCCCCTGGAAAAAGAAGTGGCCACCCACTCCAGTATTCTTGCCTGGGAAATCCCTTGGACAGAGGAGCCTGGTGGGCTGCAGTCCATGGAGTCTCAAAAGAGTTGGACACGACTTACCTCCTACACGTTATCACTTCCTACGGGTCATCTTAGCACAAAAAATGTTGGTTTTGGTGTGAGATGACTCTAAGTTAGAAACTGTTGTGATAGATTCTGAACCATTTACACAGTGGATTTCATTTGTTAGTGTGGCTTTTGTTTCTAATGACCAGGGAAACATGATATGTCTTTGCTTCTAGTATTTTGGTTGTGCTAGGAGTTCATATGTGAAAAGACACTTACTGAAATCTTCTTATATGGAAGGTGTTGTGCTGAATCTTGCATGCATTTTCTGTGCATGCAATGTTCTCTTTACTAAACCCCACTATCCACCCTCTGTGAACACCAGAAAACTTCATGGATTGTAACTTTTGTAGGAATCTAACTAATGCACAACATATAATGGCTCAGATGCTTCCAAATCAGCAATTCCACTTGATGTTTATGTGAAGACTTTTCCTGTCTGGGGTATTTATCACATGTGGAGATGCAGGACTCCAGAGCAGTTAAGAATGTGTTCTTTACAGTCAGGTTGCTAGGAATGAAATACGGTTTCTGGTGTTTTCTAAATGTGTGACATCTGGCAAATTCATTCTCTCCATTCACAGTTGACTTGTAAAATGGAAATGAAAATAACAATCTTATAAATTATTGTGAAATGAAGTAAGATTAGAGCTTTGCTTACAAAGTTCTCAGAATAAATGCCTGGTATTTGGATCATGGTTAATGAAGATTAGCTGTTTTTATTACTTAGAGACATAGTGAGGGCAAAGAAAATGCTAAAATCTCTCAAAAATTCTTTTTCCCCACTGCACTAATTCATTAAAAACACAGACTTACTTTTTAATATTTAGAAAGGTTCTAAGTGAATTTAGCAGAAGTTGTTGATTGACTTGAACTTTAAGTTGGATTCTGAGTCATTCCGGTGGTGGTGTGATGGTAGTGGTGGTCCTTGTTGACTGTGGGGATTGGTGATGCTGGGGTGTCACTTTATAGTAGGTTGTCAGAAATAAACACTTGTGACCTCATCCCATCACTGTGTACTGACCTTTCAAAAGAACAGGCAATTAATCAAAGGATTTCTCCTAGATACCCTGCAGCTGCAGCTCATGAACACCTCTGCCTATTACACATACCTCCTCCTCCTCATTAAGAGCACAGTCTACTTTGTCATCATCACCTCCTGTGTGTTCAGAACAGGCATCTGGGGCAATCAGAAGAGCTCATGACAGAGGGGCCCCATAAGAGGATCAGCGTTCCTTTATCATCTATGGTCTCGAAGAGCTCTGCTGAGAATCTAGCCTGGTTTTTATTTCTGGATTTGGGTTATTTCATGTGTTATTTTTATATTATGTCTTTATTTTGTAAGAGTTTTTCAAACCATTGGGCAAACAGACAGTTTGACTCTGTAACAAGAAATTCTGCCATTACTCAGGGGCAGGACCCAGGGTGTGTCCGGACAGCCTCTCCCCTCGCTGTCCCCACAACCTCATCAGCTCCTTGGGCTCCTGAGTCTTCACGCCTTCTCAGTGCATACAGCGGGCAGCTCCCCATCTCTTCCCTCAGCGCCTCCCCCGAGATCATGACCCTGACCCTCCCTGCCACACACCCTGGGGCTGCCAGCTTTGCTACTTGAATTCTGTACTTTCTATTTCATAATAGATGTGATTAATAAAAGAAAAACTCAAAAGTCCATTTTTGTCTGTGTGTACTTTAATTTTATGAAATCTGACCGAGGTAAAAGACAGCATGACAATCGAGCTATCAAATTCAGCCCTGGTTGTAATAATGATCAGCAACACATTTCTAAGTCCTTCCCTGGGATGGTGGTTATGGCACTTTCTTTGGGGCATTGGCCCCAAGGCGATCCATAGCCAAAGCAAGGTGCCTGGGTTCTTTCTCTTTTAAAGTCAGCGGATTCAAACTTATTGGTTCGGGACATTCCTGTGGTGACTGACACTCAGCATGACTTTCACGGTGTGTGCTCAGATCTGTGCTAGTGTCTCTTAAACACTGCCTCCTGATCCTCATATTAACCCCATGAGAACTGCACCAATACCAGAGGGGCATCGGGTAGAGGTGAAGCATGCAGACTCTAATCCCTGAGGGCCTGCATTTGAACCCTGGGTCTGTGTTAGCATCTGTGTGACCCCAGGCAGTGATTTGAACTCTCTATGTGATGAAGTTACAGTGCCCTGTCTCCTGGAGCAGGTGAAGTAGATAAGTTCATGATGCGTGGTCCACGCAAACCCTAAGCCACATTAGCATCTACTGTTGGTAGCTCTACTGTAGAATCCGTAGACTTCACAGTTACACAAATGCACTGAGAATTTTTTTCTAGTCTCATTCCCCATGGACAGTTTAGATGTAGATAGAACAGGAATTCAGTTGTTGCAGTTCACCCAGATAATTCCATTAATCCTCTAAGCACCCTTGGAAGAAAGTGCAGTCAGAGGCCACAGTTTTCAGATGGAAGAGGTTATCTGCTCATCACATCTACTTTTAAAGTAATACTTATTTAGAACTGGGTTTCTCCAACCTCCGAGCCTGTATTTTGTTACTTAACATCTCTAATTCACCGAAAAGAATATAAGGTCCCAGAGAGGTTACGAAATATGCCCAAAGTTAAACCCACAGCAGTGCCAGAGTCCACTTGGGCCAGGTCTGCCTGACTTAAAAACCTGCTCCCTTTTTCAGTACACCAGTGGCTCTCTTATTGTAGCGATAAATAAATGATTAGAGACAGAGATTGATAAATGTATAAGAAAAAAGTCACTGATGTCCAGACTACATCACAGGCCAGGCATCACACTTTAAAAATTCTCCTTCATTAATCCTAATGTGCAGCCGGGTTGAGGCATCAAGTAACTGAAACGGTTCCAGCGTTGCCAGCTCAGATCTCACACAGCAAGGGGCCATCACAGAGCTCACAAGTGTAGAACGTGCTTTACTCAGAACGTGATCATAACATCCACTCATCAATTTCCTAAGGAAACAAAATGTACTAAGATTTATGTTCGTTAACTTCAGCCCCCAATGAACCCTAGTACCCAGTAAGAAGCTAAAAAATAAACTAAAAGACCACTATGTGTCTTCCAAAAAATATACATCCTGCATATTTATTGACTACTCCAAGGCCTTTGACTGTGTGGATCACAACAAACTGTGGAAAATTCTTCAAGAGATGGGAATACCAGACCATCTTACCTACCTCCTGTAGGCAGGTCAGGAAGCAACAGTTAGAACTGGACATGGAACAACAGACTGATTCCAAATCAGGAAAGGAGTACGTCAAGGCTTTATGTTGTCACCCTGCTTATTTAACTTATATGCAGTGTACATCATGAGAAATGCTGGGCTGGAAGAAGCACAAGCTGGAATCAAGACTGCCGGGAGAAATATCAATAACCTCAGATACACAGATGACACCACCCTTATGGCAGAAAGTGAAGAAGTAAAGAGCCCCTTGATAAAAGTGAAAGAGGAGAGGGAAAAAGATGGCTTAAANAGACACGACTGAGCAACAGAACTGAACTGAGCTGAACTGGTCTTAGAGATTTGAAACTATTTCTTCATTGTGAAGAATCAGTGTATTAAATGTAGGAGGCAAGAAGGGAAATTTGCAAATCACTGAAAGTTTTGTGCAGCTGATTCCACAGCTGGGGCCCTGCTGGGCAGTGTTTCCTGTGGTTTCCAACTTCTCCTCAACCTTCTGCCCCGACTCGCCCTGGGCTGCCCTGGCCCTGGAGGTGCAGAGAGGGGAGGGCCGTGGGGATGGGGTGACAGCCTGAGTGGCAGCAGGAGGGCGCTGGTGTGGCTGATGGGGTTTCATTTTCTCAGGGCTTTTCTGTTTACGTGCTCTGTCAAATGTGGTTGATTCGTGGAAAATGCTCAAAGTCAAACTGGCCTCTGCCGGTTGAGGCTGTGCAAAGGGTAGCTGGGGTGTCACAAGGAAATGAGAACAGTTAAACCACAGCTGACTTCCTGCAAGCAGCTCCTGGGTGAGCTGGGAACTTTATGTCCAGGATGTTCAGTGGCTGCATTTCTGTCCGTGCTCAGGACCCTGTTCTGGAGGAAAGAGCAGACAGGACTCCTTGCAGCACTAAGATCATCCCTGACTTTCCACCAGCCATCTGGGCTCTTCCATGATCTTGACTTATTGAGGCTGCTGCTTCTTGGTTCCATTTTTCTCAGTATAGACAGGTAACACAAAACCTGATTCCCTGAACCCAGTGACGTGGACAGATCGCAGATTTGTGCAACAATGACAACTGTGTGCTTTTTCAATAACAACAATAATAGTGTGCATTTTCCTTCATGAGAACCGAGATATGGAGGCCCTGGGTTTACCTGTGCAATTGAATATCATATACTGAGTCATATTAAGTTCTCCTAAAAGGACAAAATGACCTCAGAATTAACCTGAGCAAGGCTTACTAGGGCACTGACATCAGATGACAATGTGACAGGTGAACAGCAGAGGGCTGCTCAGACACAGGAACATGAAGAGCAGGTGTCCCACCTCCACCCCACCCAGCAGGTCCAGGATGGGGGTCCATGCCCTGGACTCCATCCATCCAGTCCCAGAGGGAAGCAGGGCTCCACTGCTGAGGTCATGGCTTCAGCTCTGACAGTCTGACCTCATGGCCCATTCAAGTCACATCCTTCATTCCTCTCGGTCTCTGCTCGGAGAGCCAACATGTGGGGGGCCTTGACCTCCTAGGAAGATTGGCCACATCTAACTGGTGTGGCCAGTGCGTCGGGAGAGAGCTCCTTCTCAGGTTAAAGTCACACTCTGATGACTGGCTCAGGCCCCATCCGTGGTAGTGCTGTAGATGCAAGTCCACTGCTGACGCAGGACGTACTCATTGTGATGACACCACTGAATTCCTGAGGTTTGAGTCCAAGGCCAGACTCTAGTGCTCCCCTCCCCCAAGTTCTCCATGTAAGGAGTTCCCCCTGCTTAGGATTCAGACTCCCAGGGAGCTTCCAGCTGCACTTCTGTCTTATTGCTCATTCTTAAACCAAGCATGGGTGGAGTTGGTTAGATCCACACAAATGGCCAGTTTGCACCCAAACCAACACCATTTTCACTACACAGAGTTGAATTTTTCTTGAATGACACAAGTGAATAATGAAAAGAAACGGACAGACTTGCTGCCTTCTCATGAAGTATTGCATTGAAAATTCCTGCTTAACAAAATCAGCTCACAGTATGAGTTAATTTTAGTTCAAACTAGCTAAACATAAGGAAAAATGATGGCAATGGTTTCATAGAATGGATTCAAAATAAGAGTACTCAGAGTGGTTTAGAAGATACGTCTAAGAGAGAAATATTTCATGCTACGTAATACAAAATGGCTGGTACTTTTATATGTACTCACAATCCATCTTGCCTTCCTGTTATAATTCAACACCATAGGCCAAATACATAATGCAAATCAGGAATGAAACTAATCATTTTGATACGTTCAGGGTTTTTTTATTTTGTTTTATTTTTTGGCTGCAGTGAAAGTGCTGAGTCCTAGCCGCAGGACTATTAGGGAACCCCTGACATATTCTGTTTTCTTACTTTTTACAGTTGTACAAATAGGGCATGAGTTTAAAAACACAATAGAAAGGTAGGGTGTTAAGAAAGATATTAAAAAGAAGTCCAAGATACAAAAGGAAAAAAAACCCTCCGTTCTGCAAATCAAAATAAAATTAAAAATAAAAAGAGATTTTGCTTACAAAGAAATGCTACTCCAATATATTAAGAGGTCTTTTGATTAGGAACACAGCACATGTCTTTTCCCCAACTTTTCATTAAGAGATCAGACTCAGTCTCATGGAATAGAGGGTGGATCATGACATAATCTTATCAGCCACAGGCAGGCAACTAAATCTATGGTGCCATGTCTGTGAGCTACTACAATCAATAAAACCTTAATTAATCTCTGAATAACATCAGCAGTGGATGTCACCATTTCAGTTTTCAAAAAGAATAACCAATTTCCAGTCTTTTTTTTTCCCCTCTAGTGACTTTCAATGAAGGTTTTTCATGCAGAAAAAGAAAGAACACAAAAATTATTTGTGATATAGCATGAAAAGGCTAAATATTACATGTTATTTTGTATTTTTTAATAATAAAGTCTATGTATTTCATGGGCTGTGAAATAGACAAGTGTCTATATGATTTAGGCCACCCAAGAATTTATTTTAAAGCATTTTAGAAAAGGATTGCTTTATGTCTGAACACTGTTGTGGAAACAAGAGGCCCAGGTTCGTTGAGAACCACAGAGGCAGGGCAGGGTCTCTCCTCGCTGTGACTGTGGCTGCCTCTGATGGCCTGCCTGTCCCTATATCAGCTGCCCAGCTACTCTACCCAGTCCTCTGCTTTCCCCTTCTTTTAGAAAAGATTTTATTAGCTTTCAGTGGGGCTATAATTGACATGAAACTTTACATTAGTCTCAGTCATCAGCATAATGATTCCATATTTATATACATTTATAAATGGTCACTGGGCTTCCCCGGTGGCTCAGCGACATGAAGTTTTAAGATCTACTCTCTTTTCCCTTCTATGGTTAAATAATTATGCAGAGTCATTACTATTACAACTGATCATGTGTTTATTTGCTTGTATTTCTGAGGTTGAAATGTTTCCTTGGTGATTTGAGGGACTGAATAATGAATGTGCCTCGACTTGGAGGCACATGGAGCTGCATTGCTGACAGTGGACCATGTCTGTCGTCTCAGAAGCTCCCGTACACTCCGGAGATATCCACTGGTGCAGGATCAGTGCGGATCCTGGTACCAGAGAGGGCGCCTGAGTCCTGGCTCTGCCTCTGTCAGCTGTGGGACCCTGGACCAGACACTCACCCTCGGTCTCACCTGTCTCCGTGTAAGTGGAGGCAAGGACAGTACCATCCTCCCAGAACAGCTATCCTCGCTGCCTGCAGAAGTTAGGGTTTGTAGTTAATGTCTGACACAGAGATATTCTGGCTACATAAATGAGAGTGAACTATGTCATCCTTATTTGGAAATTTGGGACTCTGGGGTGATTTTCATGCTTCACAAATTTATACCTAAAAGGAAGAGGTTTTTTAAAAAAAAAACCCTCACTTTATAAAATCACAATCATATTCCTGAAATTTTACTTTGAATCTACTCAGAGAAAGGCTCCATATTTAACTACTTTTTCTTGTAGTTTCATTTTCAAAGACTTACTTTAACAAAAGAGTTCTCATTGTCCTAAAAGTGGTTTTTCACTATCCTGCTTTTCTTCTGCTTCTCCTGAAGAGTCTAGATGGTAGGAAAGGGGAAGGAGAAAAAGAACTGCATTCGATTGCAGTAACAAATGATTTCTTTTACATTACAGTACACACGGTTAGAATATAAAATGAGAGGTACGTAGGTTTAATCCTTGAGAGATTTAGATTAACACAATGCCATGTGTAAACTAAAGTTTTATTTTGTTTCTTGTCAGAGGAAAACCTTTATAACAGGAGCTACCTGTTGCACTAATTTGTCAAAAGAGATTTCACATATGTCCATCGAAAAATATTCATCTAGACCAAGGACTGTTATCCACCATTCCTCCTCCTACATCTCTTTACTGACAAGCTTATGCAGGTTTTTCAAGTGCAGTTAGTTTGGACTTTAGCACAAATAACTTACCCTTCATATTTTGACAAATGGCTATATTTAGCTAGTGAGAGAGTTCCTAATGCAGAGATAAAACCGACAGTCATGCTCTCATGTTATTGCCAGCAACCATTGTGTTACAATCTTCCTTGGTCAGTGTCTCCTGAACCTTATATTGTTGAGTTCTACCTAGATATCCACTCAGGAGTTATCTCCAAACTACACTGTTATACATCTATTTAATATATGAATATGCTTGATATGATAAATAAAATGTCTTTCTTTCTCTCTTTATACATACTAACCTTCTGCATATTTTCCCTATCTCTCCCTCCCTCTCTCTGTACTATTGCACAGCAACACTGTATAACAAACTTCCCAAAGCATAGTAGTTTAAAACAGCAATCGTTTATTAATCCTCATTAACTCTCTGGTCAGCTAGGCTGTTCTCCTGATCTGAGTCAGACTCAGCTGATGACCACCCAGGCTCCAGCCAACCCATCAGCGGGTCACCAGGTGACCAGGTCAAGGTAGCCTGGGCAGGGGTGAATCAGCTCTATATGAGGTGGGTCTTCATCCTCCAGGACTTGTCACGACAATGGTGGGGATCCAAGTGATCTGCCAGAATTTCATCAGGCCTTTTAAGGTCTAGACTCAGACCTGGAATCCCATTCTAATGGGGGAAGAAACTGCAGCCTTTGATTGAGGGACTGTGAATTCACACTGCAAGGAGTGAGTTCCAATCTGGAAAATTCACCGAGAAGCACATTTGGCCTTTGAATGTCTCTTACTAAATGCAACTAACACCCATGATTTTGGGAGCTGCAAAAAGTAAATGACAGCAAGTATTTTGAAAAAGGAAAGCATAAAGTTAGCACTACTGAACTGATGGTGAGTTTCTCTCATTTTTCTTTTGGTCTCCCCTAGCTGGCACTCAAAGAAGCCTGAAGCCTGAATGTGCATCAGGTGCAGAGAGAGGGACTGGGTGCTCAGTGGCCGGGAGCACTGCTTTTCTGTTTTTGCTTGTGCTTCTTTTGTCCTTTTCCATGCTCTCCCACGCTCACCATTCCACACTCACACCCCCAGCCCAGGCCATCCCAGTGTCTATGGCAGCGCAGTGACCACATGGAGGGTAAGCCCTGAGGGAAGGGAACTTCTCTCTCACACAGGAAACTCTGGTCCCAAGAGCACACGGAGAATCCCAGTGGCTTTTGTTCAATCTGTCCTCTTACTGCTTGGTGTGGAAGGGAGACACAGTTGCAGGAATGCACAGCAGAGCAAATATACGAAAGTACACTTATCTGGTCCAAGAGCCAGAAGGACGATTCCCGTGAGCTGGAAAGTGGCGCAGAGCTTGCGGAGAGGAGAGAGATTAAGAAAGAAATCTCATATAAGGGTGTTTGACAGCTAGGATCACCGCCCCCTAGGTGCACATGCATAAAATGGAAAAAAGGGAAAGTGAAGTCGCTCAGTTGTGTCCAACTCTTTGTGACTCCATGGACTGTAACCTACCAGGCTCCTCCATCTGTCCATGGGATTTTCCAGGCAAGAGTACTGGAGTGGGTTACCATTTTCTTCCCCAGCACCTGCATAAATGTGATCCAAAACAGATTTTGCAAACTGATCTAAGTGTAAACAAACACCCAGGGCCACTGGGTGGCGCACACAGTGCAGTGTGAATAATACTGAAAAGCTTTGAAAACTGCACTATCTGGACCTGCCCATCAAAGACAGGTAGGGATTTATATTCCATAACTGGATTAATTCCCAGCCAAAAAAAAAAAAAACCACGTGTGGGATATAATCCAGAATCACTCAATTTAAAAAAAGCCAGGAAAATCTTAACATAATGTAGAAAAGTCAGTTAACAGATGCCAATCCTTAAATAGGGCTTCCCTGATAGCTCAGCTGGTAAAGAATCCACCTGCAATGCAGGAGACCCCTGTTCCCGAATATCACACATGTTGGAATGACAGAGAATTTAAAACAGTTATGAGGACCATGGGAGGAAATGGAAGGAGGGAGAGATAGAAAGTAAAATAGGTAAGAGATAAAAACAGAGAAATAGAACAGGAAGGACAGGTGGTGGAGGTAGGCAAGTAGAGAGATAGAGTCAGAAATAGAGATGAGGAAAGAAATAGTAAAACAGAGGAGAGACAAAGAGAAAGAGAGAAGGGGAAGAAGTCAGAGCTGAAAAGAAAGAGAGAGAGGGGGGTATAGCAATAGGAAGTAGAGATCTGTGAACATAGAGATGGACAGACAGAGGGATATAAAGAATGGTGCTTTGGGGAGATAGAGAAACAGAATAGTGAAAGGAGAAAGCTAGTCAGTCAAGAGACAGCTGTAAAGCAGTCAGGAGAGTCATCTAAACCCACCACATAATTAGGGGCCACATCATGGTAATTTCATATATTCATATAACCACAGCTACGTTACCTATTCATCCGTTGATGGGCACTTAGCTGTTAAAAACAATGAACTTAGGAGTGCAGGTATCTTTTAGTGTTTTTGTTTTCTTTTGATAAACACTCAGAAGTAGAATTGCTCGATCATGTGGTAGTTCCATTTTTAACTTTTTGAGGAACATCCACATTGTTTTCAGTAGTGACTGAACCAATTTGCATTCCACCAGAAGTGTACTTAGACGGTAAAGAATCCCTGGTGGCTCAGATGAAAAGAATTTGCCTGCACTGCTGGAGACCTGAGTTCTGTCCCTGGGTCGGGAAGATCCCCTGGAGGAGGGCATGGCAACCCACTCCAGTCCTCTTGCCTGGAGAACCCCATGGACAGAGGAGCCTGAGGATTACAGTCCATGGTGTTGCACAGAATCATACACAGCTGAGCGACTAAGCACAGCACAAGTGTACAAGGTTTCTCTTTTCTCCACATGCTCACCAACATGTGCTGTTTGTGTTCTTTTTGATAATAGCCATTCTGACAGATATGAGATGATATCTCATTGTTGTTTCCATTTGCATTTCCCTGCATTTCAGGTAAGTAAAAAAAACTTTTTTTCCTTTGTGGATGTTTCAAATATTGCAAAGTTCCTTGCATTTTTTTCCCCCACAAAATCTGAAAACCCTATATGAGACAGTCTTTTACTTGAGGATGAACATAAATCTTCCATCAAACTGTTTTATGAGGCATGCACACACATAAACACACATCTGTTTACTTTAAAGGAGAGTCAAAAGTAGACCAATATAACTGATATTAGTTTCTTTTAATAAGGCTCATTCAATTCTTATTGGATTTGCTGCTCAAAGTTGGCTTACAGGTATAAAAGGAAAGGTAGTTCAGGGAAACGATATAAAGATGTTTAATCACCAGACGAGACCATGGCATCAACATTAACACTGAAAGGCTGAACTGCAGGGAATTTAGCCCGAGTCAGGTCTTCTCACTCCACCAGGCAGCAGGCAAGCTTTGTCCATGTTTCTCCTCCCCAGACACCAATCTGATCCCTCTGCTTGCAGTTCTGAGCTCCACAGTGCTCAGGCGTCTCTTCTCCTGGGTGGGGGAGGTGTTCCCAGCCTGCCACAGGGGAGTCTTCAAGAAAAGAGTTGGTACAGAGAGGCACAGCTCCACCCTGGGCCTCTTGAGACACCACCCCCTCTGGGCTCAGCCTGGTGGCTTTTAAGAAAGATCCTCCTTGACTTCTCTGCCTGTCACATCTGCTGAGAACCCCAGTCTAGCTCACTGCCCCAGGCATGTTGCGGGCCCTAGTGCTGCTTTTGGTTTTCCTGGCTCTTGGTAAGTGTGTTGCCTGGATGCTCTGTGAATTTTTCTGTATTTTGTGGCATCGGTGGGGGCAGGGGAGGGTCATACTAAGAAATTGGTGTTTCCTCTTCATCATTACTTTTTGTTGCTTTTCCCATTGCAGTCACTCCGGTATCTTCCAATGCGAAAGGGGCCCAGATGTCAGTCACTAGTAAGACTTGGGAAACTGCTTCTTTCACTTGCGATCTTACACAAGATGCCACATATATCCACCTGTACAAACAACAGGAGGGGATGGCTCCCCGACGCCTTTTCTACTACGATGTCTACTACTCCAAGATTGAGTTCGAATCAGGAACCAATAAAGCAAAATACAGTGTTTATAAAAGCTCAGGAAGGAGCTATAGATTTGCAGTCCTAAATCTGGAACACAGTGATTCTGGCATGTACTACTGTGCTGTCTGGGATAAGCACGTTGGTTCAGACTTCCTGTACACTGCACTGGAAATGTTGCTTGTGGCTGCCAAGTGCAGCTCTGGTAACAACCCCTGCCTCACTTCTTCCCCCAAATTTTCTTTACTCTGAACAAAGAGAAACCCTGAGCTCAATGCCCATTTCCGAAGCTATTTATTCCATGGCCACCTCCTCCCTCTCCACAACAGCCATAGTTTTTCCTGAAAACAGACCTTCATCCCCAGACTATAAGCAAGCAATCTAGCAGGCAGCATATCCTAACTCTCCTAGGAAATTGTAGAGTTCATATAATTTTTTCTTTAGGACAAACAGGGCATGTAGGATTGATCTCTTAGGAGACACATTTAGAAGAGCAAAATGGAAAGATTAGACAATATGGAATCATTAATTCCATCATTATCCAGAGAAAATGGCTGGGGATGGAGCATCTTCATTATTCAGGAATATGAAAAATAAGAAATGATGGAATGAAAACTTGAGACTTCCTAAACCTCAAGCTGGTATCTGATCTCTCTTTTGAACAAATAGATATTTTCCTCATATAACCAACTAGGGCAAGACTGACATAGTGAAAGTGTAGGAAAAAAGTGATTGTTTTAGGTAAGCCAACCATGATATTCTACTTACACCTGCTTTTGAAGTTCAGCCCATAGCTGAAACTGGTCTGTCTGGTAACAGATAAAGTGGTATGTCTCCTTTTGAAATGGGCCACTTCCCAGCCTAACACAGGAATGCATCCTAGAAGAGGGCTCGTGAGCTTCCTTCTGACCAGGAAGCCCCTCCTCTCGTATTGCACCCCTGGGCACTGCTGCTCTCACAGGTCATCACATTTGTCTATGATAACCCCACAACCACAAGTCAAAGCTTCAGGTCCTTCCCCTTCTGTGACTGCAGGGAAGATGGGGTTGGCTAGTAAATGCACCAACTTTAACTTGCTCTACTGTTCAGCAAGCTCTGGGAGTTGGTGATGGACAGGGAAGCCTGGCGTGCTGCAGTCCATGGGATTGCAAAGAGTCGGACATGACTGAGCAACTAAACTGAACTTGAACTGATCAGCAACCACTTGGTTTAACTATTTGCAGCTTTAGGACAGTCTGAAGCATTAAATATATTTTAATTTAGATTTTTCCAGTGGTGGTAAGATTTTGTTCTGCACATTTGTTTCTTTGATCTGCTGTGATTTCAATTTCTGTGTAAGGTAGCAATCTTAATGTGGAGATCCAGTTTCTTCCCCAATTACTGACAAATACATCATTATACCACTGTTTTTCATCATCACGTAGTGATAACTACCTTTTCGTATGCTCACGGGGTCCTTGTTCTCTTCCCAGTCTCCATCTGCTCATACAGGCCAGTTTCTCCCAGGGCACAGCTAGAGGTGGCAGTCACTGTGTACACACAAGAAACACAATCACAACCTTGTGTAGGATAAAAGATATGCCATACACAACCCGTGTGTGACCAAAGAAATCAGAGAAAATAAAAAATACTTGAAAACGATGAAATTGGAATGAGTGAAGTGAAAGTCAGTCAATCATGTCTAACTCTTTGCAAACCCATGGACTATGCAGTCCATGGAATTGTCCAGGCCAGAACACTGGAGTGGGTAGCTTTTCCCTTCTCCGGGGGATCTTTCCAACCCAGGGATCAAACCCAAGTCTCCTACAGTGCGGGTAGATTCCTTATCAGCTGAGCCACAAGAAAGCTGAAAATAGTTAAACCATGTGGTTGCTGATCAGTTCAAGTTCAGTTTAGTTGCTCAGTCATGTCCGACTCTTTGCAACCCCATGGACTGCAGCACTCCAGGCTTCCCTGTCCATCACCAACTCCCAGAGCTTGCTGAACAGTAGAGCAAGTTAAAGTTGGTGCATTTACTAGCCAACCCCATCTTCCCTGCAGTCACAGAAGGGGAAGGACCTGAAGCTTTGACTTGTGGTTGTGGGGTTATCATAGACAAATGTGATGACCTGTGAGAGCAGCAGTGCCCAGGGGTGCAATACGAGAGGAGGGGCTTCCTGGTCAGAAGGAAGCTCACGAGCCCTCTTCTAGGATGCATTCCTGTGTTAGGCTGGGAAGTGGCCCATTTCAAAAGGAGACATACCACTTTATCTGTTACCAGACAGACCAGTTTCAGCTATGGGCTGAACTTCAAAAGCAGGTGTAAGTAGAATATCATGGTTGGCTTACCTAAAACAATCACTTTTTTCCTACACTTTCACTATGTCAGTCTTGCCCTAGTTGGTTATATGAGGAAAATATCTATTTGTTCAAAAGAGAGATCAGATACCAGCTTGAGGTTTAGGAAGTCTCAAGTTTTCATTCCATCATTTCTTATTTTTCATATTCCTGAATAATGAAGATGCTCCATCCCCAGCCATTTTCTCTGGATAATGATGGAATTAATGATTCCATATTGTCTAATCTTTCCATTTTGCTCTTCTAAATGTGTCTCCTAAGAGATCAATCCTACATGCCCTGTTTGTCCTAAAGAAAAAATTATATGAACTCTACAATTTCCTAGGAGAGTTAGGATATGCTGCCTGCTAGATTGCTTGCTTATAGTCTGGGGATGAAGGTCTGTTTTCAGGAAAAACTATGGCTGTTGTGGAGAGGGAGGAGGTGGCCATGGAATAAATAGCTTCGGAAATGGGCATTGAGCTCAGGGTTTCTCTTTGTTCAGAGTAAAGAAAATTTGGGGGAAGAAGTGAGGCAGGGGTTGTTACCAGAGNTGGCATCTGGTCCTGTTACTTCATGGCAAAGAGAAGGAGAAAAAGTGGAAGCAGTGACAGAATTAATTTTTTTGGACTCCAAAATCACTGCAGATGGTCACTTTAGCTATGAAATTAAAAGACACTTGCTACTTGGAAAGAAAATTATGACTAACCCAGATAGCATATTAAAAAGCAGAGACATCACTTTGCCAACAAAATCTGTATAGTCAAAGCTGTAATTTTTCTAGTAGTCATGTATGGATGTGACAGTTGGATCGTAAATAAGGTTGAGTGCCCAAGAATCGATGCTTTCGAATTGTGGTGCTAGAGAAGACACTTGAGAAGTGTCTTGAGAAGTCACTTGGACAGCAAGGAGATCAACCCAGTCAATACTAAAGAAAATCAACCCTGAATCTTCATTGGAAGGACTGATACTGAAGCTGAACCTCCAATACTTTGGCCACCTGATGCAAAGAGCTGACTAATTGGAAAAGAACCCGATGCTGGGAAAGATTGAAGACAAAAGGAGTAGGGGCAGCAAAGGATGAGATGTTTAGATAGCAACATTGACTCAATGTACATGAGTTTGCGCAAACTCTGGGACATAGTGGAGGTCAGAAGAGCCTGGTGTGCTGTAGTCCATGGGGTTGCAAAGAGTCAAACATGACTTAGTAACTGAACAACTGTCAGGGAATGTTTAACAGTAGGATTCCTGTGTGCTGTTTCCTATCTCTCTTGAGCCCTCTGTTCCTTATCGGTCCATTTAGGTGCAAGAGGATGGAGATGGTGCAAGAGGAGGCACCATTTAGGTGCCTCTCCCAGGATGGAGATCAAAGAGATGGGATGCTTGCATAGGATTTCCTTCATTGGCTTTTCCATTTGGTGAAAGGGATTATTTACGACCCTCTTTTGATATGGATCGCCTTTTGGCCTTATGGCCTCTATTGCTCCTTGCTTCCTTGGTAACTTGTAAAGTCTGGTCTCTTAATCTTTATCTGAAGAAGCTACCTTGTATTGTGGTATATATATTATTCTTACAGAATTCAATAAAGCACCCTTGTTCCATCAGAGCTTGGGTCCCTGTGTCTTTCTCTCTCTCTCTCTGTCTCTCTCTCTCTCTCTATTTCTGGCTGATTCCCTGGAGCGTGAAAGCTAGCTGCGTAACCCAGGGAATATTAGCTTCTTTCTTTCTTTCACTTTCTCATAGTCGACTCCAGACCATCAGGTTCCAGTCCATTAAAGGACCCCAACAACAACAAAAAAATAAAAATAAAAATAAAGGACCCCAACAAACAACAGCAACAAATTTATATGGTGTTTGATAAAGAGCTATTTTTGTTCTCCCAACAAATGATCAGTAGCTCAAAGCCAGTTTTAAAATAATCTCTCATTTCTCTACAATTTAAAAATTCCTTATCATATTTTTACATTAATATATGCTTGGAGTGTTTTCTGCAGGACTTTTGTTTCATTTATGTTTCAAAATTCTTACAACATAATTAGCTCAACCCCAATTCTTACAACATACAACAACAAATAAAGTTTATTTTAACTCTGATTGGAATTACAGTCAATTTATGCAGACTTTTCTCAGCCCTTTAGTAAAATCCTATACTGTTTTCTTCATATGGTCTTGTATTATTTTGTAAATATCATCAAAGATTTTATAACTGTTTACCGGTTCTTTTACCTTTTATTACTTAAATCCTTCATAGGTCTTGGAATACGGACAACTCCTAAAGCTTCTGACAATTCTGCTCATGGTCTTAGAATAAGGAAAAACAGAAGACAAGATGTCAAAAAGGAGATGAGTGGGCATCACTCATATCTATAATAGATGCAAAGAGTATATGTCAGCCCCAAGTACTAATAACCCAGAATTCTCAATTTTAAAAAATGAGATGAGATGTGCTTAGTTACTCAGACATGTTCAACTCTGCAGCCCCATGGACTGTAGCCTGCCAGGCTCCTCTTTCCATGGGGATTCTCCAGGCAAGAATACTGGAGTGGGTAGCTGTTCCCTCCTCCAGATCTTCCCAACCCAGGGATCAAATCCAGGTCTCCTGCATTACAGGCAGTTTCTTTACCGTGTGATCCACCAGGGAAGCCCTTAAAAAAAAGACACCTTTCTAAATACGATTTTCATCCAGGTCTCTCATCCTTTCCTATTGTGTTGGGTGCTACGAGTGGACAGCTGCTCACCATGATCTCCTCTTACTTTCATCCTCAGGGCAGTGGCATTGAGTGCTCACGAGCCTCAGGCCAGGACTGGGTGGATCTGCATGGACATGGGAATCTCAGGGCCAGTCCTGTCTGGATTCTGGCAGGTGGACTGTTCATCTATGCTCAGAGAAACAGTCAGTTGCTTCTGGCTATTTCTTTTTCTCCTGATCTAAGGTGAGTGGCTTGAGATTACAGAACAGCCTCTAAGAGTCTTCTTTCAACATACCAGAGAAATGAATATTGTTTTCAAGTTTTAGTTTCAGTAAGGAATCTAATCTCAAAGCAGATAGAGTTCTACAAATTTCTTCCTTTATTCTAGGAAAAATAGTATGTCATCATAGGAGATATTTTCTCATCTTGCATTGGTGTGGTAAAGAATTACATTACTCAACAAATGGAGAACTTTGTTCGCATTTCTCAAGTATACTTGTGTTGGCATATTTGCATTTTCAGTTACTGAAGAGTTTCCTCTCTTCAGAAATACATTCCTAAATTGCTAATGGAGCAGCCCTGGTGTTTGTGGAAACAGAAGGGCCTTTCCTTTGATGTAAACTAAGCAGTTTCAACAGAGCTGAACACCTGGAAAAAAAAAGTCTCAATTCTTTGAATACTATTCCTGGAAATTTAGAAAGGCCAGTAATTAACTGTTTGGTGCCAATGATGTGTTGTTTTCCTGCTTTTACGCTTTTCATCTGTTATCAGTGTTTTCAATGATCTCTTCTCTGTGGAAAGCAGATATTTGGGTCCACTTATCTGAGGAAAACTAATAAAACATCAAATACCACAAAACCTATGTTCAGGGACTTCCAAAAGAACCCAGAAAATCAAATTGCCAGTACAAAGTTTTTAACTGCTAGTCATGTCATGAAGGTAGGTGAAGGCTGAGATTATTGTAGGAGCTTCAACCGGGTCAGAGAAATGAATATTGTTTTCAAGTTTTAGTTTCAGTAAGGAATCTAATCTCAAAGCAGATAGAGTTCTACAAATTTCTTCCTTTATTCTAGGAAAAATAGTATGTCATCATAGGATATATTTTCTCATCTTGCATTGGTGTGGTAAAGAATTACATTACTCAACAAATGGAGAACTTTGTTCGCATTTCTCAAGTATACTTGTGTTGGCATATTTGCATTTTCAGTTACTGAAGAGTTTCCTCTCTTCAGAAATACATTCCTAAATTGCTAATGGAGCAGCCCTGGTGTTTGTGGAAACAGAAGGGCCTTTCCTTTGATGTAAACTAAGCAGTTTCAACAGAGCTGAACACCTGGAAAAAAAAAGTCTCAATTCTTTGAATACTATTCCTGGAAATTTAGAAAGGCCAGTAATTAACTGTTTGGTGCCAATGATGTGTTGTTTTCCTGCTTTTACGCTTTTCATCTGTTATCAGTGTTTTCGATGATCTCTTCTCTGTGGAAAGCAGATGTTTGGGTCCATTTATCTGAGGAAAACTAATAAAACATCAAATACCACAAAACCTATGTTCAGGGACTTCCAAAAGAACCCAGAAAATCAAATTGCCAGTACAAAGTTTTTAACTGCTAGTCATGTCATGAAGGTAGGTGAAGGCTGAGATTATTGTAGGAGCTTCAACCGGGGTAAATGGCTCAGAATGGAAGAAGATATTTGGAAAAGGAACTAGGCTCATAATAACTCCCCATGGTAAGTAACGTTTTTCTGTTTTTTACCTTGGTCATGAAAGACTAACAGATGCTTTTCATTTTATTTTGGGGGCTTGTGGGATCTTTGTTCCCTGATCAGAGATCAAACCCAAGACCATGGTAGTGAAAGTGCCAAATCCTAACCCCTGGATAGCCAAGAAATTTCTGACAGATGCTTTTTAGAGAAAAGCAATTTAGGATTCCTCCTTATGTGACTGACACATTCTTGGGCTCAGAATACAAACAACAATTTTTCAGCTACTGGTCACTGTATATGGAAACTAAACTACTTTGGAAATGGTTTATTTTCTCTGCTTGTAAGCAGCTGAAATTTTCCTTCTAGAAAACACACACACAGAGAATAGGCTCAGGCTAGACAATAAAATATTCCGAGGACTCAGTTTTATTGTTTCATTTATATTCCAATATTTTTATGCCATTATCATGTTCCTTATTATGTTAGTGTAAGTTTTTGGTTCAGGTTCCTTTTCTAGTAGATGGTCTATTAAGTGAGTTACTCTTCTCTTAATTAGCTCTTCTCTAGAGTTTGAGATAAAACTTCTCCATTCTCCTAATAACTTGCAAAACAAATATTATAGGTTTTCACCTCATCCCTAATAGCAGTGCAAAAAGATTCTATAGTAAACAACTATAGAACTTTGATAAATCTCACTTCTTGTTACTCTAGCTTCTTAGAGGTAGGCTGATATTCTTTAAAACTTGAGCTATGGGATCTCCTTTTTTAATTAATTAATCTTTTTTAACTGAAGAATAATTGCTTTACAGAATTTTGCTGTTTTCTTTCAAACCTCAACATGAATCAGCCATAAATTTCCTGGATATGGACAAGTTTGTCAGCTCAAGTCATTTCAGCTCCAAAGTCCATGAAAATGGTGTGCATGGTTACATATCCTCATTTGCTCTTTCATTCTCTCAGCAAATATTTATTGAATTGTTTCTGTGCTGGGTACTTGAGATAAAAGTGTGAACATGACAGAACAAGGATAACTCAAACTATTTCTATTGTGGTGGAAAAGTGTTTGAAATTCTGCTTAATGGGGACCCATGTTCTATGATCTGTGGCTGGCAGGACACCTTGATGAACTTGTTTCCCTTCTTAATTGATTAAATAGCTGTTGTTGTTGTTGAGTCATTAGGTCATGTCCGGCTCCTTTGTGACCCCATGAACTGTAGCCTGCCAGACTCTTTCATCCATGGGTCTAGAGAAGGGAAAGGCTACCCACTTGAGTATTCTGGCCTAGAGAATTCCATGGATTGCATAGTCCATAGGGTCGCAAAGAGCTGCACATGACTGAGTGACTTTCACACTCACACAAAGACTTGTTTATTCTGAAGTAAGTGGACTGTACCACTGCATGATATTAGAAATATTAAGTCATGTTTTTATATCCTGAATATTTACTCTCTGTAATCTGACCTGGATCCTTCAACTAACTACAGTATTGTCATAGTGCATAGGGAAATGGTAACCCACTCCGGTACTCTTGCCTGGAAAATCCCATGGATGGAGAAGCCTGTAGGCTACAGTCTATGGTAGGTCTACAGTCGATGGTAGGCCTACAATCTATGGTAGGCCTACAGTCTATGGTAGGCCTACAGTCTATGGGGTCGCAAAGAGTCGGACATGACTGAGTGACTTCACTTTCACTTTCTTTCTTTTATACTTTGTATTGCTACTTATATGGGAAAACAATGCTTTTGCTTTTAATGATGGCACTGAAATGACCTCTCTTTATACCCAAAAGATCATGTAAGTCATATTGAATATGCATTTATTAAATATTCAGAATATGTGTCAGTTCTATCTCAATAAAAAAGAGGCAAGTAAGAAAAAGAAATAAGAAAGAAGAAAAAATTTTAGTGGAATACACACTTTTTGTTAACTGGTAAACATACCAAATTTTCAAATATGATATGCTTTTCCCTCCAAAATTAGAAAAGAACTTCAATGCAGGAGTTTTTAAAGAGGAAAATGAAGTAATAAGTGGACACTGCAAAATAAATAAATAAAAAGGGGATATTGCCTTCAGTATCCATTTTATAAAATGGAAGAAATGGTCTTTAAACAAATACATTTATACTCCCAGTACATCAATGCTATGTTTGGCAACATTTAATGTCATACATAGGTGGTGAACCTCAGCAGGTAAGGGTAGGCAGACAATGTTTTAGTGATCCAAGGGGACAATAGGAGGAATTTGAGGACCGGGCATCTTCATTTGGCCATTTCTCTTAGTCATTCTGTCCTAAAGTACAGTGCCCAGAGTTGCAAATTGAACTCTGGGCATAAGTTAGGTAGAAGTCAGTTTGAGGCTGAAATTTTGGGTAAAAGCTTAGAATGACAGTAGATGTGCTGTTAATGGGGAAAAAAATGCCATTTATTTTGGACAATGTCAGTGAAGAAGTTCCATGTACTGACTGCTTCAGGCAATGTTCTCTTTGACTTTCTTAAATGTGGAAATATAACAGATAAGAATAAATAAATGATTGCCTATTAATTGTGTATGTGAAAAGCTATGATGATGGTTTTGAGAGCTCTAGACATATACAGCATAAAGTAAAGCAAACAAGTCATTAGTTGCTACAAATCTAATTGCAAACCCCAAACACAGAATTTTTATCAGGGTTTTCAAAGTTTGGTCCTATGGTATTAAAATGTCATGTTGGACCACACAATTATCAGAAATAAAAATGCTAATAATAATGTTAATGATAACATAGCAACTTTTATAGTATCTTATCTCCATATTATTTTTATTCAAATCAGTCTTCAGTTCTTGTTTTGTTTTGATCTCACTGCAGCAGTGATAAGGATGTTCAATTGACTTAACAGTAATATCATCTTCTACAAATAAATGAAGCTTCTAAGGCTTTAGCTTATTTGATTTGTTCAACCCCAGAACTTGTTAGGAGCAAAATGAACTAGGACTAGAATCCTGGTGTCTTGAATTCCAAGCCATCATAATTTCACTAGAATTTGAAGGAATCAGTGAAGCTAAATTAGTCTAAAGTTTTTGATATAGCCTGAATCACTGTGCAATAATTACGTAAAAAACTTCAATGTTGGAACAAAACTTGTCGTCACAGGTAGGTATCAGAGAATGTAATTTTTTTCCAAGGTAATAGAGGGAAAGTGAGCAACAATTAAATGAGAATGAAAGTTGAAAATAATGGGTTTGTGGTTGGGGATTAGATTTAGGAGAGATTTTACAACAAGTCCATATAGTAAAGGAGCGTGTAGACAACACTGCACAAATATTGTAATAGGATTTGGCTTTGTATCCATGTGGACTTCAGTAAAGGGCCCATGTGGCATTCTTGCCTGGAAAATCCCACGGACAGTGGAGCCTGGCGGGCTACTCTCCATGGAGTAGCAAGAGTCGGAGGCGACTTAGCAACTAAGCCAAACAATAATGTATTATATGTAATAGTCATGAAAGTGTTTGGCCCAAGGCTGAAGTTTGTCATTACAGCTAAGTGTTGTGAGTTGACAGGTTTCCTTTTCTGATGCTGAAGGTGTATTTTCAAAAAACATGGACTTTCAAGTCAGGCTGACCTGGAGCTTCCGACCCATCACTAACTACTTATGTGAACATGGGGGTGATTCTCTGGCCTCAGTCTCCTAATCCATAAAATAGGATAACAGCGTATATTCAGCAGAGGTAGTAGGAGAATTGAATGAGATAATGTGAATAAAGTACTTAGCACATTGGCTAACACCTCATAGGTGCTGGATAGGTTTTTATTCAAATATAAAATGAAAATGGCATCCAGGAGAGAGAGTTTTTTGCAAAACTGTTGACAGAACTGACATTCTTCAGAGAATGCAGCTGCACTTCTGACTTCTCAAATGAAAAGTTATCTCACTGTCCACTCACACTGGGGGGGATTTGTCTTTCTTTAGCAGGTTCTTGTCTACTTGGCAAGAAAAATTAGATTAAAATGTATTTTTTTATATGTCTTGTTGTTCTATGTGGTTTAATTCTTAATCCTTTAGCTTAACTGGTATCATTTCTAACAACAATATTTATTGGCTCTAAAATATATAGTCAATAAGCTTAGGCTTCATGCTCATATTTATCAGAAAAAGTTTTAATTTATAAAGAAAGTGATCAAGAAGTGAAGTCAAATATAGAGGGAAATATCATGAATTTGAAACTGCTATTTAAAAATGAAATAGTTCTAATTATCTAATTTATAAAAGAAAAATGAGAAGAAAAAAAGAGAACACGTTAATAGCAACATAATATATGGTTGGAGAAATACACAGTGTCTTGCTATGATAATGAGTAAAATACTACTTGTTCTAAAAGGAAGATGTATAACATAAAATAAGCACATTAAGATCCAACTATATTTACAGCAGGAGTCAAAAATCAACACTGTCTTTTTACTGATTTGGTAGAAAAATCAGGAGCTTTGCTGCACAGGCAGACATTCTGAATAATTCTTTTCTTCTCATGTGAGAAGTCCAATTTTTCTCTTCTTAAGATATTTCCCAATGAGGCGCTTCCCTGGTGGTTCAATGGTTAAGATTCCGCCTTCTAGTGCAGGGGCCACAGGTTCAGTTCCTGGTTGGGATATACATTCTCTTCAGTAGGTGGAAAAAGAGCAAACAGTGGTGGTCCAAAGCAGTTCAGCAGCCTTATAGAGTAGGTACAAATTAAGGGGGGGACACCAAGAGTCAAAATATTATGTATTATTACTGAAGAAAAAACTTTAGATGAGATTCCAAAATAAAATGTGCTTTTGGTGAACACTTTCTTAATTGAGACAAGCTTCTGATAAATGCGTTACTTGATGAGCTTAGAGTAAGAGCATTTCTGAAAATAATGTGTGCTCAGTTGCTTCAGTCATGTCTGACTCTTTGCGACCCATGGGCTGTAGTTCACGAGGCTCCTCTGTCCATAGGATGCTCCAGGCAATAATCCTGGAGTGGGTTACCATTTCCTCCTACAGGGGATCTTCCCAACCCAGGAATCGCCCCTACTTTTCCTGCATCTCCTGCATTGCAGGCGATTCTTTACTACTGAGCCATCGGGGAAGCTCTTCTGAAAATAACACTTTTTAAAAATGGAAGTATAGTTGATTTACAACATTGTGTGAGCTTCAGGTGTCTAGCAAAATGATTCAGTTATATATATATGTGTGTGTGTGTGTGTGTATAGTCTTTTTCAGGTTCTTTTCCATTATTACAAGGTTATTACAAGATATTGGATATAGTTCCCTGTGCTATACAGTAGGTTCTTATTGTTTTATCTATTTTATATATAGTATTGTGTTATCTGTTAATCCCAAATTAGGGGTTTGGGATTAATTATACATTTTAAATGGAAGTTTTAGAAATATAGCTATCTTGTTTCCACATTCAAGGCACTGTAAATAATGTACTGCTCTACTAAAAAATCCAGAGTGGTTCAGATGTAAAATTGAGAGGTTATATAGAATTAAAAATAGAGAGAATCCCAGCACTTCAGAATTGGGCATGGGACCCACATTTGGAGAGAAAAACTAACTTCATACATTGTCACGTACCCGTGGACACTGACTCCATGTTAAAAAGCAACTGCATATCACTTTTTAAAAATGATAAACTTCTCTGGGTGTTTATTTTTGTGGGGAATAAAATAAATATGGTGCATCCCAGAATCAGTTAAATGAAGAATGAGTTTCCACAGAGTTTCAGAACGTGAGAATGTATCATTTGGCCAAAGAGAGCATAAATTATAACATAAGACAAGATGGGAAAGGGAAATAGTTTAGAAGACATCAAAGATTCTCACAGAGAAACCATCAGAGTTACCTGGTCTCCTCCTCCATCCCCATTCCCACAACCCACCCATCCACTCCAAAGAGGCTCCACTATGATGGAGCAAAAGAGATTTTTTTTTAATCAGGATTTCCCTGGCAGTCCAGCATTGGGACTTTGCACTTCTACTGTAGGAGGCACAGGTTCAATCCGTGGTGCAGGAACTAAGATACAGCATGCTGCATAGTATGGTCAAAAAACCAAAAACATAAGCTGACAAAACAATAAATGTATTCATGAATTTTGGAAGCCTTGATATGGGGTATTTACATGGGGTATTTGAAGGTCATACGCCATCTTTACAAATGGAGAAAAATGAAGGTCAAGGTATAATCTAGCTTTACTACTTAATAGCTGTGACTTTGGGCAAGTTACATGAAGTCTTGAACTTTTCTTTCCATCAAAGATAAGAGCAATAATGAGCATCTGACAATCTATTGTGGATGAGAGGCCATGGTGAGCACTGGTCCAATGATGCCTTTCTTTTACTACTCGCTGTGCTGTCCATAGTCATTCACTTATGTCCGACTCTTTGCTACCCCATGGACTGTAGCCTGCCAGGCTCCTCTGTCCATGAAATTTTCCAGGCAAGAATACTGGAGTGGGTTGCTATTTCCTTCTCCAGGGGATCGTCCCAACCCAGGGATTGAATCCACATCTCTTGTGTCTCCCGCATTGGCAGTGGATTCTTTTCCACTGGCTACCTGGGAAGCCTTATTACTTGCTAGGTTTTTCCAAACCTCAAAATGTTGGTGTTGCTCTAATGATTCTTTTAAATTATATTTTATTTTCCCCCACAGATAGAAACCTTGCTACAGACATTTCACCCAAGCCCACTATTTTTCTTCCTTCAATTGCTGAAATCAACCACAGTAAGACTGGAACATATCTTTGTCTTCTGGAGAAATTTTTCCCTGATATTATTGAGGTTTACTGGAAAGAAAAGGATGGCAACAGAGCTCTGCCATCCCAGAAGGGAAATACCATGAAGACCACTGACACATACATGAAGTTCAGCTGGCTGACTGTGGCTGAAAAGTCCATGGATAAAGAACATATATGTGTCGTCAAACACGAGAGAAATATAGGAGGAATTAATCAAGAGATTCTTTTTCCTTCAATAAATGAAGGTATGTGAATAAATGTGAATATAACCTCCAAAACGCTGTTTTTCAAATAAAATACACCACTTTTTCTGTTAAGCATTAGTGAAAAACAAACAAATGTCTTTATGAAATGATGTTTTGTTTAATGGTAGCATAAATGTTCTGCTATCTCCCCCATAGAATTAAGGTGGGATAGGCTTTGATACATAAATGTGAAAAAAATTTTACTTAACCTTTTCAGATTTGGTTTCATCTTCTAAAATATTAAGATCATAGTGATGTTTCTTAAAGTTGTTGTATGGATTTAAGGAAACAACATCTCTGAAAATATCTAGAAACTTAGCACATAACAAATCTCCACTGCGGATGACTTTGGCTGATCAGGAAATAAGAATATGTATGCATCTTTCTGGAATGTTTTACTCAGCAAATAAAATCAGTGTCATTTTAATCCTGCTTTACTCAAGGTACCATTCCAAAACAATGAGTTATTAAATGATAAAACTGTGTTTGTATGATGGAGGCAGATTGCAGTTCAACAAAAAGTAGAATAATTGGACTACTGGGGTTTTATTACATTTTTAGGTTTTTGAAATGTGTATTTTATACTGGATCTTTCCAACCAAGGAATCAAACCAGGGTCTCCTGCTTTTCAGGCAGATTCTTTACCAAGTTAACTATCAGGGAATTTCCATACCACCCTAAGATAAGCTAAAATTTTGTAATTAGAGATGGGGTGAGGCTAAAGTATATAGACTTACTCTCATTCTACATAAAGAATGCATTTCTTGACATTGGAAAATGCTTCTCATAAACTCTCATTGCAGCCCTAGCATGTGCCAGGCCTGGAGGGAGTGTGGATGAACACACTCAGGTCAATTACTCTCCCAGAAGGATGCACTAAAGTCAAGAGAATATACATGTTTCTTAATCAGTCAGGGTTACTCGTGATTCAGGCAAGGTGTCCCAAAGGAGACCCTGTGATGCAGATGTTGGGCAGAGGGCTGGAAGTGTGTTGGCCCTGGCAGTGGTCCTGTAACTCATAGGATTCTGGACTGAAAGTCCGCAGTATTCACCTAGCAGACCTAACGCCCCAGAGTGTCCCTAATTAGGAACCATTTCTGTGCCTTTCCCTGTGGTTAGGAAGCCCTTTTTAAGCAGTGGGAACCACGTGCTTAATCAAATGTACACAGACTTTTACTGGGCACCAGTCTGAATTTCTGAAGCAAGCCTGTTTCTTCCCTGATCCTCAGTTTGTCCAATGATCAAATTAGGTTTGAACACTTGCCTTGGCTTTGCCATGGGGCTGTGATGAAGAGCAAATAGAATAGCACCAGAGAAAACGTTCCAAAGCATGACAGAGATGTATTTATTCTCATATTCATCAAATCTATTTGTATCCTTTCCTAAAACTAATTAAAAGTAAGAATACAAAAATTTTTTAATAATTTTTAATTTTATTATTTTGTATTTTGCTGTGCTGGGTCTTCATTGCTGCATGGGCTTTTCTCTAGTTGCGGTGCATGGGCTTCTCGTTGCAGTGGTTTCTCTTGTTGCAGAGCATGGGCTCTAGGGCTTGTGGGCTTCAGTAGTTGCAGCTCCCAGGCTCTTGAATGCAGGCTCAATAGTTGTGGCACATGGCCTTAGTTGCTCTATGGTATGTGGGATCCTCTCAGATCCGGGATCAAACCTATGCTTCCTGCACTGGCAGGCAGATCCTTTACCACTGAGCCAACAGGGAAGCCCCTATTTACCTTTTAATGAATAAAATCATTATAAGGAAAGAAAGGGACTTATTAAAGTCAGTCTTGAGGATACTTTACCATCAAAACATGACTCTACTTGTATTTTCATTCTTGGGATTTACTCCAAAGCATTTATACCTCAAATCCACGTTTTAGATTATAGTGAAAAAAAGATCTCGTTGAGGGCACAAAAGGCATATCAAACTGTATCCATGTGGACATGGACCCATCCAGGAGAAAAACGATAAACCAAACAACTTCTGAGACTGTTTTCCTCCATCCAACAGTCCGTGATCTTTTAAAATAAATTTGTACCAATATGGTTGTATTTTTGTTTGACATTACTCATGAATAAAATTCTCACTTCAAGTTTTATCAAGTCAGATAACTAAAAATGTGATTTGATCTATTTTTTTTTTACCCCGGAAAGAAATGCTGAGCTCCTATAATAAAAAGGTCATTGTTAAGAATAATTAAGATCTCTAGAAGAGAAGATGTTTTTAATGTTCACAATGGTGGAATTCTGTTGTCTTTTCATAGGTTAATTTCTCTTTCTAAGGCTTATTTTTAGAGTATGCTCCACTTGCTCTGTCTCATTTAATCCCCAACAACCATCCTTCGAACGCTGTCTCTGCCACCACTGGTATCGGATACAACTCTCCGCCAGTTACCCTCTAATTCTTATTTCCTTCTTTGTAACATGGAATGCTCCAAAACACAAATCACTCCAGTGTCACTGGGGTATTAAAGAAGATAATGCAGTGAAGAGTTAAGCGAGTGCCTGGCCCACAGTCACTCAGCTATTAACTTTATTAGTATTGCTTTGGTTATGCCCATAAACCCCACAACTACAGAAAAATAATGTCCATGAGCCAAGGATACTGAGGATGTGTGTGCTTTGGAAAGCTTCAGCTGCTTTCTTTTGCTTGATGGGAAATATGCCTTAGCCTAACTCCTTCAAATGTGGGATTCCCTTGAGGACTCTAACTTTGAATGACTGATTTGCTAGCAATTCTTCATCTTGGCAGTGGGTGCTAAAGTCGTGGAGCAGCCACTTTTCCTGATTACTTGTCTTTGCAACAAGTATTTCTCCAACACCTACTTTGTGGTAAGCACAGTGCTAGGAGCTATGAATACAGAAGGAAAATAAGATGCTATTGGATATTACCCTCCGGTTATGGTAAAATGTAGCCTTCATGAACTTCAACATTTCCATGTGTAGAAAACCATATGCGAATGAAATCTACAAATTACATGGAATCAGACCAACTAGTTTTGGAACTGTAGGGCTCATATTTTTAATAACTGTCTCTCTCAGCAGATTATCTATCTATATACACATATATATATATTACAATAATACATGTATAAACACATACAATGTCAAATAATGGGCAGAAATAATTGACTAATACTTTTTTTCATTTCTTGTAGTTGTCAGCTCAATTGTCCCTACCACTGAGTCTCCCAGTGACTGTTTAAACCATGAAAGCGGTAAGTTTTGTAGATGATTGCCTTATGTCATGCTTTAGTCTTTTATTTCCTTTCTAGTCTATTTATCTTTTGCACTTCTCTGGCTAACAGTACAAAGGACCAATTATCTGGAACTGTGGGTCTCATTGTCATAGTTTTAATGACTATCTCTACAGTCTCACTGTCAGCAGATTATATACATATATAAATATTTATACATACACAGACACATAAATATGTGTGTGTGTATATTTACATACATTTACATACATATGTACACATTGTAAAATAATGGGCAAGGACAACCGATTAATGTTTGCTTCCATTGTTTCTAGAAGTTATCGGTACTGGTTCTAAAAAAGCTTGTCTGAAAGATGAAAGTGGTAAGTTTTTGCCTATGTTTGCCTTTATGAAATCTTACAGCATTTTTTCCCCTCCTGATCAAATTACCTCTTGAACTTCCCTGCTTAATGGTAGGAAAAAGCAATTATTCCTGGAATTGTGGAGTTCATACATTTAATCAGAGTATCTCTCCAATTTGTGCTAGCAAATTTTACCTTATATATACATATATATTACCACACATGTACTTAATCACATATGTGCCACTGTCTAATAATAGATATGAACAACTGACAATACAATTGATTAATACTTGCTCTCCTTTCTTCTAGAAGTCACTGCTGATCATAATTCTACAAAAGTGTGTCTGAAAGATGAAAGCAGTAAGTTTTGCCTTTGTGTCTTGTTACAGCCCTTTTCCCCTCTAAATAAACTTGACTTCTGAACTTCTTTGGTTTAAGATAGAAAGCCAGAAAGTCTGGATATTGCAGAATGGATAGCATCACATTTTAAGTAAATCCATCATTCCCTAAGAGTCATCTTAGCATAGTAAATGTTGGTTTTGGAGTTTTGAGGATGCAGTGATAGGTTCTGAATTATTTCAACAGTGGGCTTCACTCACTTGTGTAGCTTTTGTTTTTAGTGAATAGAGAAATGTGATATCAAGTTACTTCTAGACATTTGAGTTTTAGCCCTTGTTTGCACCTAATACATGAACTAACACAGAGAGCTTGACATACACAAAGTGTATTGCTGTATCTTTCACATATGCTCTGTTCTCTCCTCATAACCACTCCTATGAGGTGGTACCATATTTTCCCGACATTTTGCAATCAGGGCAATGTGCCAAAATTAGTTCAGTCCTTTGTACAAAGTCACACAGCTAGATCTGGGGATTCAACTTAGTCCATCTGAATCAAGGTTCACACAACTTACTCAGTTCTCTATTCCTCCTCTAAGAGGCAGACATAGAACAAGAATCCCAAAACCAAGGTCCTGAGACAGGATGAACCCATGGGCAGGGGTGTTAAGTGCATGGACTTTCGAATATCACAGTCCCCAGTTCTTTTATTATTAGCTCCATGAAAAATGGGTAAATTACTTACATTTCTGAGCAATGCTGCCCTCATATGCCAGTTAGAAACAATAATAGACTGAACCCAGTTACTGGAGATATAAGATCACATATATGGAGTGTCTCGGATAGGGTATCCAGTTAGCTGGCACAGAATCACTACCACTTGGTGGCCCCTTCTCCCTACATGAACTTTCCAAGTGCATTTAGAATCTCTGGCTCTAGCCCTGCTGATCCCTCCTCTATTCCAAATATCAGGGCCCCAGAACTCAGCTAATACCTGACCTGACCGAGGGGAGTAAGTTATGAGCAGGTCACCTCCTGAGATCCTTTCCATACCAAATGCTAGTGATTCTGGAGTTCTGACTCTCTGAAGATGAGGTGTGGGAAAGAGAAATTTCCACAAGAAGAAACTCAGTCTTGAGATTAATTGAGTAGCCAAGTCAGGCCCATCATTAGTGCTGTTAATTGTTTTTTTTGACAGCATATATTTCTTGCAAAGCGTCAAAGACAAATAAGTGCAATTATCCTATAACATCACAGCCATGATGGTAGACATTCAAGACAGACAGGTGAGTGAGGCATGAGCTCCTGATGTTTCAGGAATTTTGGACTAAAGACCTTCTTCCATTTGATAAAATGTCCTCTTTACCAAAACCTTCTGCCCACTACACTGTATCACAACCAGATTTCCATGACTTGTATCCTTCTTAGGAACCTCATTGATGCACAACATGTAATGACTCAGATCCTCCCAAATCAGCAATTCGACTTGATATTTATGCTTAACTTTGATGTCTGGTGTGTCAATTGCACGTGGAGTTGCAGGATTAGAGAGCAGCTAAGAATGTTCTTCAAAGTCATGTTGCTGGGATTGAAATGTGGTTTCTGGTACTTTCTAAACGTGTGACCTCAGGCAAATTATTTTTCTCTGTTCTCAGTTTCTTGTAAAATGTGATTGAAAATAATAATCTCATGCTCTGCTGTGCTTAGTCATTCAATCATGTTCCAACTCTTTGTGACCCCATGGACTGTAGTCCACCAGGTTCCTCTCTCCATTGGGATTCTCCAGGCAAGAATACTGGAGTGGGTTGCCATGCCCTCCTCCAGGGAATCTTCCCAACCCAGGGACTGAACCCAGGTGCCCTGCATTGCAGGTGGATTCTTTACCACCTGAGCCACCAGGGAAGCCCAGTAATTTCATAGGTTATCTTAAAGCTTAAATAAGAGTAGAATTTTGCATGCAAAACTCTCAAAATAAGTATTTGATATTTGATTAGTCATTAATGAATATAACCTGTTATTATTACTCAGAGATGTGGGAAGGGGGCAAAAAAGGTGCTAAATGCTATTAGTCAGCTTTCCTTGATCATCTATTGTTACTGAAATTCTCTGCTTGCTTTTTGGATTTGGGTTATCTCAGTGCATATGTGTTTTTTCCCTATTACATCATTATTGTGTAACAGTTTTTCAAACACTGCGCAAACAGACAGTTCTATTCTGTAACAAGGAATTCTGCTATTACTCAGGGGGCAAACCCAGGGTGGGTCCAGGGGAGCCTCTCCCACCACTGTATTCAACCCCAACAGCTTCTTCCACCCCGAGTCCTTGTGCCTCCAGGGCGCATAAATCAGGTAGCTCCCCATCTCCTGCCTCAGCATCTTCCCCAAGACCAAGGTCTTGACCCTCCCTGTTACACATTCTGGGGCAGCCAGCTTTGCTACTTGAACTCTGTACATTCTTTTTCATATGAGGCACAATAAGTTAAAAAATAAATCAAAAGTCCACACATTTGTCTGTATGTACTTTAATCTCATGAACTCTGACCAAGGTAAGAAACATCATGACAACTGAGCTATCAAATTCTGCATGGTTGTAGTAATGGTCAATACCACATTTCTAAGTCTTTCCCTGAAATGGTGGCTATGGTGCTTTCTTTGGGGCACTGGTTCCAAGGGGAGCCACGGCCAAACGAAGGTGCCCAGGGTCCTTCTCTTTCAAAGCCAGCAGATTCAGACTCATTGGTTTGGGACGTTCTGATGGTGACAGGGTGACACCCACCATGCCTTGCAGCATCTGTGCTCAGATTGTACCAGTGTCTCACAAGCACTGAATCCTGATCCTGACATTAACCCTGTGAGAACTGCTCCAGCACCAGGTCATTCGGTGGAGGGTGAAGCACACAGACTATGACTCCCAAGGGTCTGGGGTTGAATCCTGGGTCTGTATTAGCATCCATGTGACCTCAGGCAGTGATGTGAACTCCCTGTGCCATCATTTCCTCATCTGTGCGATGAAGTCACAGTGCCCAGTGCTCAGTTTACTGTAAAGTGGGATCGAAGCTGGTAATCTCATGCTGTGCTTAGTCGCTCAGTCATGTCCAAGTCTTTGTGACCCCAAAGGGTAAATGAGTAAATGAGTTAATGATGCTTCATCCATGCAACTTCTCAATAACATTAGCATCTACTGGTGGTAGCTCTACTGCGGAAATCATAGATTCCACACACACACAAATGCACTGATATTCATTTCAAAACTTAACTTCTGGGGCACTGGTTCCAAGGGGAGCCACGGCCAAACGAAGGTGCCCAGGGTCCTTCTCTTTCAAAGCCAGCAGATTCAGACTCATTGGTTTGGGACGGTCTGATGGTGACAGGGTGACACCCACCATGCCTTGCAGCATCTGTGCTCAGATTGTACCAGTGTCTCACAAGCACTAAATCCTGATCCTGACATTAACCCCGTGAGAAGTGCTCCAGCACCAGGTCATTCGGTGGAGGGTGAAGCACACAGACTATGACTCCCAAGGGTCTGGGGTTGAACCTTGGGTCTGTTTTAGCATCCATGTGACCTCAGGCAGTGATGTGAACTCCCTGTGCCATCATTTCCTCATCTGTGCGATGAAGTCACAGTGCCCGGTGCTCAGTTTACTGTAAAGTGGGATAGAAACTGGTAATCTCATGCTGTGCTTAGTTGCTCAGTCATGTCCAAGTCTTTGTGACCCCAAAGGGTAAATGAGTAAATGAGTTAATGATGCTTCATCCATGCAACTTCTCGATAACATTAGCATCTACTGGTGGTAGCTCTACTGCGGAAATCATAGATTCCACACACACACAAATGCACTGATATTCATTTCAAAACTTACTTCCCACAAAGAGATTAGATACAGATGGAGTAGAGACTCAGTTTCCACCATTCATCAGGAACCCCATTAATCATCTCAGAATGCTCGGAGGAATGAACAGTTAGAGTCCACAGCTTACAGGTTCAGTTCAGTTTGGTTCAGTTGCTCAGCCGTGTCGACTCTTTTTAAGTGAGTATATATTTTCTATTTTCTCTAACGAATCCTTTAAAAGGAAAAATTTTAATGTATTAGAATTAAAACACTGTCTCATTTAAAACCAAGGAGGTTTTTTATTTGTTTCTTTGTTTATAATTATCTTCAGTGGATGTGAAACAAGTTCTTAGGACACTAAACAGAAGTTCCCCATTTGAAAGCAAAATAGACCAACCATATATAAGATAGAGGAAATCCAGTTTAGATCAGCTCCTTGCTTCCCATTAATTTGATCAGATCTCTTTAAACAATGTAAGTCACTCTCATCTTAAAGATATGGAAATATTTCTTCACTGGAGAGAAATAATGGAATAAGTAAAGAAGTCAAGGGGCTTCCCAGGTCATTCAGTGGTAAAGAAGATAGATAGATTAATTGCTCAGTCATGTCTGACTCTTTTTGACTCCATGAACTGTAGCTTGCCAGGCTCCTCCGTCCTTGGGATTTCCCGGACAAGAATACTAGTGCAAGTTGCCATTTCCTTCTGCAGAGGATCTCCCTGACTTAGGGATGGAACCTACATCTCCTGCAAGCAGATTCAGTATAGTCTGAGCCACCAGCAGTAAAGAATCCACCTGCCAATGGACAGAGGAGCCTGTTGGGCTACAGTCCATAGGGTCGATAAAAGTCAGACACACCTTAGTGACTAAACAAGAATAACAACAGAAGCCAAGAGGGGAAGCTTTGGCTATTGCACATACCGCTGCAATGAACTTTGGGGTACATTTGTTTTCTCAAATGTGGTTTTCTCCAGATATAAGCCCATGAGTGCGATTGTTGGATCATGTGTGGCATGCTTGGTTGCTCAGTCATGTCCAAATCTTTGTGATACCATGGACCATAGCCCAACATGTTCCTCTGTCCATGGGATTTTCCAGGCAAGAATACTGGAGTAGGTTGCCATTTCCTCTTCCAGGGGATCTTCCCGATCCAGAATCATATGGTAGTTCTATCACAACATGGATGATGGATTTAGAGATTATCATACTAAGTGAGGTAAATCAGACAGAGAAAGACAAATATTGTATGGTATCACTTATATGTGGAATGTAAAATAATGATACAAATGAACTTATATTAAAAAAAGAAACAGACTCACAGACTTAGAAAACAAATCTATAGCTATGAAAGGGGAAAGATGGGGGGACGGTAAGTTAGGAGTTTAGAATTAACACATGCAAACTACTATATATGAAATAGATGATCAACAAGGACCTACTGTATAGCCCAGAGTGCCTCTTGATGAAGCTCTTTAACTAAAGAGCCTCTCGATGAAAGTGAAAGAGGAGAGTGAAAAGGATTTGAAAAAGAATGAATGTATGTATTAATATAACTGACTTACTTTGGTGTACACCTGAAATTAACACAACACTGTGAATTGACTATATTCTATATGAGCTAATAATTAAATTTTAAAAATGGAAGCAATAGCATTTTAAAAAGAGGCTAAACCTCCATACCTCTGAAAATTTTGGGTAGCTGATTTCCCTGCTAGGGCCCTGGTGGACCGTGTCTCCTGTGGTTTCCAACTTCTCAGCAACTTCCTGCCCCAGCTGCCCTGGGCTGGGAGGTGCAGAAAGGGGAGGGCAGTGGGGGTGGCCGTGGCAGCAGGAGGGCGCTGGTGTGGCTGATGGGGTATCGTTTTCTCAGGCTTCTTTGCTCATTCGCTCAAAACCACATTTTGGTTGATTTGTGGAAAATGTTTAAAGTCAAACAGGCTCTACCAGTTGGGGCTGTGCAAGAGCTAGCTGGGGTGTCACAAAGAAATGAGAACAGTTAAACCACAACCAGCTTTGCTCACTTTCAAAGGTCACAGTTAATGGAAGAAGAGTTCTCTGCACAGGCATGTGATTGTTAGCAAACAAACTCCAGGCTGTGACTCAGGTTCCCCATTATTTCTGTATGCATTTCCTCCACTATGTCCATGTAAGAATCTGTCCGCAGTGTAGGAGATCTGGATTTGATCACTGGGTCGAGATGATCCCCTGGGGAAAGACGTGGCAACCCACTCCAGTGTTCTTGCCTGGAGAATCCCATGGACAGAAGAGCCTGGCAGGCTACAGTCCCTGGGGTAATAAAAGAGTTGGACATGACTTAGTGACTAAGCCGCTACAGACGTCCTATGTGAGCTGGGAATCTTACCCCCAGGATGTTCAGATGCTGAACATCATCCACAATGGTGTGTCCGTCCACACTCAGGACCCTGTTCTGGAGGAAGGAGCAGACAGGACTCCTTGCAGTGTCAGGAAGCATTTAACAGGAGGCTTCCCGTGTGCTGTTATGGATCTGTCAGGAATATTCAGGAATTAAGAGGAGAGGCACGCCTTTCCCGGAGCTGATGAATCCAGGCATTTCCTTTGTTAGTTTCTCATTATGGTGATAAGTACCCTCTTCCTTTTTATGAGCCATACAGATAAAATGGGATTGTTTGCAACTCTCTCGTCTGTTTTGTAAGTCTGGAATTTTAATCTTTATCTTTGCTCAGAATAACCACCTCGTAAGACAGTGTATATGCCCACACCATGTTGATTAAAACACCTTTGCTCCATCAGAACTTTGGCCCTCATGTCTTTCTGTCTCTCTCTCTCTCTCTCTCTCTCTCTCTATTTCTGGCTAATTCCTTGGAGCGCAGAGGCCCGCTGAGCTCACTTTCTTGCCCAGGCTTCTAAGGCCCTCTCG